TGTACTCAACTGAGGGGGAGGAAGAAACGAAAGTAGCAAACTGTGGTGAAAAAATAACAGGTTAATTTTTTGACTTTGAACTTTGATCCTCTTTGAATAATCTAACTGAATCTCTGCAGTACAGAATAGACGGTATTTTTTAATAATTTCTCTGAAAGTACCCGGAAATTAATTTGAACGCTGAGCCCTCTAGTGCTCACGTGATGTCCGACAGAATAAAGTCCGATAAGGTTTATTATTTTAGTATCAAGCATGACCTTTACTTATATTTTATTAAACCAGAGTACGACGACAGTGTAGAGCTCCAGACATTCTCTCTAAACTGTAATGGAGCAGCGGGGGACATGATCTACATCACTGATACGGAGGCGGAAAGATACGGTCACTCTATATCTGAAGTGTTTGTAATAGAATCTACACAACCCATGCGTGGTAAGTTGCGCGAAACTGAAAAACCGGTGCTATGGTTTCATCAATATATGATATCATAGACACCACGAACGGCTGCAGAGCAAGCAATCCCAAACTCCGCCTTCAAAACAGGGTATCCGCGCAGCTTAGATGTAATTTTACTTAACTAAGATATCAAACGTGGGCAGCCCAATCATGTTGAGTCGGAAGTCCGAAGTCTTGCTGAAGCAAATATGTGTCTCCTTTTTTTGCGGTGTAAAACATCATCACCATTATTGTAATCATAATTTTTGATTTCCCTTTTTAGATTATATTAGTATTCAATAATAATTAATCGTAAAAGCAAATCGTAGTTTTCCTGGATCCAGTCATTAATCATACAGTAGCTGATCATGGTTTCAGCACACACACACACACACACACACACACACACACACACACACACACACACACACACACACACACACACACACACACACACACACACACACACACACACACACACACACACACACACACACACACACACACACACACACACACACACACACACACACACACACACACACACACACACACACACACACACACACACACACACACACACACACACACACACACACACACACACACACACACACACACACACACACACACACACACACACACACCAGAGCCTCGAATCTCGATAATGGCAGTTTTTACTCTTTCTTGGTTAATTTCTTTGAATATTCACTCACCTCGGTTCCGGTAACATTTCCTCACTTCAAGAATATCATATAATTAACATTCCTTAGTCAGTTGTTAAATACGCTGCAAACAGAGGTATTGGACTCTGGGCAGAGGCAAATAACGTTTCAATTTGAACGCTGAGCCCTCTAGTGCTCACGTGATGTCCGACAGAATAAAGTCCGATAAGGTTTATTATTTTAGTATCAAGCATGACCTTTACTTATATTTTATTAAACCAGAGTACGACGACAGTGTAGAGCTCCAGACATTCTCTCTAAACTGTAATGGAGCAGCGGGGGACATGATCTACATCACTGATACGGAGGCGGAAAGATACGGTCACTCTATATCTGAAGTGTTTGTAATAGAATCTACACAACCCATGCGTGGTAAGTTGCGCGAAACTGAAAAACCGGTGCTATGGTTTCATCAATATATGATATCATAGACACCACGAACGGCTGCAGAGCAAGCAATCCCAAACTCCGCCTTCAAAACAGGGTATCCGCGCAGCTTAGATGTAATTTTACTTAACTAAGATATCAAACGTGGGCAGCCCAATCATGTTGAGTCGGAAGTCCGAAGTCTTGCTGAAGCAAATATGTGTCTCCTTTTTTTGCGGTGTAAAACATCATCACCATTATTGTAATCATAATTTTTGATTTCCCTTTTTAGATTATATTAGTATTCAATAATAATTAATCGTAAAAGCAAATCGTAGTTTTCCTGGATCCAGTCATTAATCATACAGTAGCTGATCATGGTTTCAGCACACACACACACACACACACACACACACACACACACACACACACACACACACACACACACACACACACACACACACACACACACACACACACACACACACCACAAACCCCCCTTTTTTTTTTTTAAAAAAAAACCCAAAATTTTTAAAAAAAAAATTTCCCCAAAACCCGGGGGGGAAAAAAAAAAAAACCCCCAAAAAATTTTTTTTTTTTAAAAAAATTTTTTTTTTAATTTTTAAAAGGGGCCCCAAATTTAAGAAAAATTTTTCCCAAAAAAAGGGGGGGGGTTTTTTTTAAAAATTTTAAAAAAAAATTTTTTTTCCCGGGTTTTTTTAAAAAAAAAATTTTTTTAAAAAACCTTTTTTTTTGGGGGGCCCATTTTCAAAAAATTTTTTTTGGGAAAAAAACCCCCCAAAACCCAAACCCCCCCAAAACAAAACCCCCAAAAAAAAAAACTAAAAAAAAAACCCCCCAAAAAAACCCCCCCAAAAAAAAACCCCAAAAATTTTTCCCCAAAAAAACCCCCCAAAAAAAAAAAAAAACCCCCCCCCCCCAAAAAAAAACCAAAAAAAAAAAACCAAAACCCCCCCCCAAAAAAAAAAAAAAAAAACAAAACAAAAAAAAAAAAAAAACCCCCCCCCCCCCCAAAAAAAAAAAACCCCCCCCAAAACCCCAAACCCCCCCCCCAAAAAAAAAAAACCCCCCCCCCAAAAAAACAAAAAAACCCCCCCCCCCCCAAAAAAAAACCCCCCCCAAAAACTCCCCCAAAAAAAAAAAAACCCCCAAACCCAAAAAAACCCCAAAAAAAAACCCCCCCCCCAAAAACCCCAAACCCCCAAAAATTTAACCCCCAACCCCCCCCAACAAAAACCCCCCCCAAAAAAAAAAAAAAACCCCCCCCAAAAAACCAAAAAACCAATTTTTTTTTTTTAAAAATTTTTTTAATTTTAACCCCCTTTAAAAATTTTTTTTAAAAATTTTAAAAAATAAAATTTGTCTTTTTTTCCCCCAAAAATATTTTTTAAAAAAAAAAAAACCCCCCCCCCCCAAAAAATTTTTTTTTAAAAAAAGGGGGCCCCCCCGGGGGCCCCCCGGGAAAATTTAATTTTTTTTAAAAAAAAAGGGGCCCTTTTAAAAAAAAAATTTAAACCCCAAAAAAATTTCCCCTTTTTTTGGTTTTTTTTCCCAAACTCCGCCTTCAAAACAGGGTATCCGCGCAGCTTAGATGTAATTTTACTTAACTAAGATATCAAACGTGGGCAGCCCAATCATGTTGATTCGGAAGTCTTGCTGAAGCAAATAGGTGTCTCATTTTTTTGCGGTGTAAAACATCATCACCATTATTGTAATCATAATTTTTGATTTCCCTTTTTAGATTATATTAGTATTCAATAATAAATCGTAAAAGCAAATCGTAGTTTTCCTGGATCCAGTCATTAATCATAGGAAATTATACAGTAGCTGATCATAGTTACAGCACACACACACCAGAGTCCAGACTACCAGAGCCTCGATAATGGCAGTTTTTACTCTTTCTTGGTTAATTTCTTAGACTATTCACTCGGTTCCGGTAACATTTCCTCACTTCAAGAATATCATATAATTAACATTCCTTAGTCAGTTGTTAAATACGCTGCGAACAGAGGTATTGGACTCTTGGCAGAGACAAATAACGTTTCATTTCACGTAACGACAACGTTCATGAGTTTTGAACTTATTAAAAGGGTGGACACGCCCTTGTCTTTATACCGGAAGCACGTATGTATTATATACCTTATCGGACCTTATTTGGACGGACATTACATGAACGGACATAATTATGAACGGACATTAATATGAACGCTCGAAGGCATTCAAAACCATAAAAAATCCGAATTTTTTTCAATTTTTCAGTAATATGAACTATATAACAACGCCGGACAATGTTCTTGGCAGCACGATTTACCGTAATATCTAGAGGCTGGAACAAGTTTGTCATGTTGGCGGGGACTAGCTCATGAACTATGTTGTTGAGTGCCATAATTTCGTTGACTTTTCCGCAAAGTGGCCCTTGAAAACATCATATACTAGTAGAGTTTTCTGTGCCTCCGGCAGACCAAGGAGAACCTTTCCGTCGGAACAACTCATAGTTGTCATATTCTGGACAAAAAGTTCGAAATGGAAAATTTTTGAAAATTTTTTAACGGACTTTAACTTGGACGGACATTAATTGAACGGACTTTATTTGAACGAACATTAAGATGAACGCTAGGGCCCCTAGCGTTCAAGTAATGTCCGTCCAAATAAGGTCCGATAAGGTATTGACTAAAATAATGACAGTACAGTAGAGTTCAGAGTAACATTACAACAAACCGAAAATAACGAGTGTATCGCTATTATAGCATAACTGCAGATCCTACAAATATTTTCAAGCACCTGTAACCAGGCTCTCTCTTCTCTCTCTCTCTCTCTCTCTCTCTCTCTCTCTCTCTCTCTCTCTCTCTCTCTCTCTCTCTCTCTCTCTCTCTCTCTCTCTTTCTCTCTCTCTCTCTCTCTCTCACTCTCTCTCTCTCTCTCTCTCTCTCTCTCTCTCTCTCTCTCTCTCTCTCTCTCTCTCTCTCTCTCTCTCTCTCTCTCTCTCTCTCTCTCTCTCTCTCTCTCTCTCTCTCTCTCTCTCTCTCTCTCTCTCTCTCTCTCTCTCTCTCTCTCTCTCTCTCTCTCTCTCTCTCTCTCTCTCTCTCTCTCTCTCTCTCTCTCTCTCTCTCTCTCTCTCTCTCTCTCTCTGCACTATAGTCCCCCTGTGTCTCTCTACCTCTGACTCCCGAAATATTAACATTGTACATATTTTTCAGTCAACAACAATGTATATTTTAGTCATTCATCGGGTGCAGGAGCAGTAGTAACAGCTGGTGTGTATAAAATTCTCCGCCAACATCATTACAGACCCCGTATTTACCTACACTCATTACTAACGGTCATATTAATCACTAAATTACAATCTACACTACTGCTAAAACTACTCTAAAACTGCTGCAACCAGCCTCCATATTACACTATATCCCCCGGGAAAATTTAATCGATTTCGTCAATATCTCCAGGAGGTATTGACAAATTCGACTAAATCCCCCCCTACCTACTAAATCCTTAAAAAAATCCTAAAACTCCCTCTTAAACAACACCCTAAAAATAAGAATACCAACAAAATCCCCGTGATGCAACTCACGCGAAAAAACTACCCTTTAAAAAATTTCACGTGTTACAATATTAAAAATCTATATAAAAATACGTGTTACAACACGTACCAATTCTGAATATTAAAAACTTTACGTGAAACAACTCACGTTTTACAAACAAACAAATTTATAAAACTTCGTGACAACCTTCACGTAATAAAATTCAAATATTTAAAACAAATTTATAAATACAACTTGCTACCCTACTAATTGTCCTTCTCCTAATTGTCCTTCCTACTCTTCTTACTCCTTCTGCCCTGCTGTTCTTTTGAAGTTGAAGTCCACCATCCCCCGTCTCTCCGTCTACCCCACCCGTTGTTGCACACCCTCCACAACCATCCTCATAACCAAGGTACCGTGCATCTAGTCACGAACCTAATTAATACAATGTTTTCGTACACCTAGTTACGAATATAACTTATATAACTATTTTCGTACACCTAGTCACGAACATACTTACACAATTTTTTCCGTACACCTAGTTACGAACATACTTACACAATTATCTCCGTACACCTAGTTACGAACATAACTTACACAATTATCTCCGTACACCTAGTTACGAACATAACTTACACCATTATCTCCGTACACCTAGTTACGAACATAACTTACACAATTATCTCCGTACACCTAGTTACGAACATAATTTACCTAATTATTTCCGTACACCTAGTTACGAACATAACTTACACCATTATTTCCGTACACCTAGTTACGAACATAACTTACACCATTATTTCCGTACACCTAGTTACGAACATAACTTACACAATTATCTCCGTACACCTAGTTACGAACATAACTTACACAATTATCTCCGTACACCTAGTTACGAACATAACTTACACAATTATCTCCGTACACCTAGTTACGAACATAACTTACACAATTATCTCCGTACACCTAGTTACGAACATAACTTACACAATTATTTCCGTACACCTAGTTACGAACATAATATCACATAAGTCACTGCAGACCGTCATATTTATAGATATGAAGTCCAATCATCTAGATTAAGACCTTATCGGCACACGAATATCAAAAGTCAACTAAAGGCAAATCTAGGCATCAGGAGCGATGCTCTACCGGATTTAAAGGTGACTCCCACTCTACACTCTACTCTACTCCACGGTTCAACAACTAACTCCACCTCTAGCAAACTCTCCACTCTCCAGTGTAGCAAGCTCTTCAAAATAAAAACCAGACATCACTCAACCATATCAACCGACATTAATGACACCAGGCATACCCTAAGCACGGCGGGAGATAAGAAATGCAACGATGACTACCTTCCCCAGGTTCCAGGTAGTCTGCAAAACATGACAACAATCGTCGTATCTGCCCGAGCAACAGGTAGTTAACTGGCATCCCGTGACCAGCAATTCTCTAAAACCCAAGTTTTCTCTTTACCCTCTTCAATACCACATTAATTCTTGACACCGGTCTATAGTAATCCGGCCTCTTTAACTGAGCTCTATTTCTTAGAGAACGTCCTCCACTGGCTACAGGCGTACTCTGTTCATCAGGTGAGTAAGCTGGTGTATTGTTGCTCTCCCCCAGCTCGACAGGACTCCTCACTACTATACCACACTACTATACCACACTACTATACCACACTACTATACCACACTACTATACCACACTACTATACCACACTACTATACCACACTACTATACCACACTTCTATAATACCACACTACTATACCACACTACTATACCACACTACTATACCACACTACTATCACTATACCACACTACTATACCACACTACTATACCACACTACTATACCACACTACTTTACCACACTACTATACCACACTACTATACAGCACTACTATACCATACTACTATACCACACTACTATACTACACTAATATACCACACTACTATACCACACTACTATACCACACTACTATACCACACTACTATACAACACTACTATACCACACTACTATACCACACTACTATACCACACTACTATACCACACTACTATACCATACTACTATACCACACTCATGCTACAATGGCGGAAGCAATTAACCAGCTTCATGACTTTCAAAACATGCCAAATCCACACCAGTATTAAAATCTATTAGTCAAAGATAGCCTTAAGTTACCTTAAAATAAGTGTTGGAGGGTTGGGATAACTTGTTGACCGTGAAGATGATTCCTGCAACTTGACAGAAAGTCCATATATTGTAGCACAAACATAGGTACACTGGCAGGAGCAAAAAGTAAATCTGAGAATTCTTTCCAAACCAACAACTGAAGATTGTGAGAATTGCCGGGGTTATTTATTAAGCGGGACAAAATTAACAGCGGGAGCCGGGATTATCAGAATTGATTATTCTATCTCTGATCTCGGCTGATTATTTTATTCCGGAGGTGTTTATAATAACTCTGATGTCATGGAAACACTAAATTGAACGTTATGATATGCCGGGTTATTATTAAGGGGTATATAAAGTTTAACGCACAACTCATCATGCAGATAAGATAATGAATCCTCGAACACTGCCACAACTACATTGATAGTTGTTATCGTCAAAGACACTCCTGAAAGTTATATTATATTCATCGGATGATGATTAATCACTGTAAACACTGTACACATCCAAATTTTACATTTTTGATTTAGGCCTTTAAAAACATTTTGCGGTCAAAATAATATTTAGGCCAAATTCTTTAAAAGGCCTAAGGCTAAATGAGTGAATCAAAAATACGGGCTAGAAGATAAAGTCCTGAGAAGATTTAAAACTTAACCTTGAACCTGAAAATTTCATGGGAAAATTTTGAAAATGAAAATGCCTTAAGCTTTATAAAGTTGGTTTCATTCAAAAATATTGATATTTGACCAATTCATGAGCCAACATTTAATTTTATCAAATTTGGTGCGTATGTCCAAATATGGGCATATGGTTTTTGGCTTATAACTCAGTAATTTTATGGGTTTTGAGCAAGGATGTAGCTCAAGTAGCTTAAACTTCTCTCACCTAGTGTTCCGAAAAAAGCTTTCTTGAAGAATTGTCGAGGGTAGACGCCATACGAGTCTAAAGAATGTACTATCTGTGAAAATTAGATTATTGTATATATTGTAATGAGGACTATGACTCATGCGCGAATAAGCGCACGAACCTTAAAATATCATTTTAAGTTGAAAAGGTCTGCTCTCCCCGTGACTATTACCTTTCATAAGAACTACGTTAGTAATCTTACTTAGTTTATAGTTTATAGTTTATAGTTTATAGTTTATAGTTTATAGTTTATAGTTTATAGTTTATAGTTTATAGTTTATAGTTTATAGTTTATAGTTTATAGTTTATAGTTTATAGTTTATAGTTTATAGTTTATAGTTTATAGTTTATAGTTTATAGTTTATAGTTTATAGTTTATAGTTTATAGTTTATAGTTTATAGTTTATAGTTTATAGTTTATAGTTTATAGTTTATAGTTTATAGTTTATAGTTTATAGTTTATAGTTTATAGTTTATAGTTTATAGTTTATAGTTTATAGTTTATAGTTTATAGTTTATAGTTTATAGTTTATAGTTTATAGTTTATAGTTTATAGTTTATAGTTTATAGTTTATAGTTTATAGTCACACCTATCTCCAGAACCATTACCACTAGTCCTTGACCTTAGTATTAGTAAGGACTCTTTACGCTCACCCTAATCCTAAACCCATACCCATAACTATAAACCCAAGAACCAAGAACATAAACCTATAACTATTTTTTATTAAATAATTGTTTTAATTTTATCAAAATTAAAAATTAACATTTTAAGTCAGCCCGATCAAGCCGCAGCTGGAGTTTTATACAAAGCAAACTCGAATTTCAGCGTAAATTTGAAATGATAAAACAAAAACTAACGAGGGATTCCAATTATACAAATAATATTATTGTCATCAGCATTCATTTAAACAATCAACAATCAGTCAATTAACATTCTTTTTAAAATTAAAATTAAAATGCAGCATTTCAATCACAGAGAAAGTTGCAAAAATATAATCAGTTCAGCACAAATCATACTGTTTGGGCCAAAACTAACGCAATGTCCGAATATTCAGTGCCTGATATTTGTACGACAACGCAGTGCTTGCATTGCGAAAATTTTGGTCCACTCAATATATAAACCATCGATTGCAGCTGTGAGCTGAATAACCAGCGGTAAACAGTTTTATTTGATAAGAATTTCGACATGGTGAACATTTGGTCAACATTTGTTCAACATTTGGTCAACAATTGGTCAACATTGCAAAACTTACTGATACACTTCTTCGCAACTTTGCCGTTTAAGTTTTGCAGATTTCTTTTCTGACATAAATAATTCCTTTGAAAGCTACTAAATATATTACATTTTAAAGGATTGAAATGCATCTCGTTAAAAGAATTAAAATTTATTTAATGGTAAACAAAAATTTTACCGTCGCATCGCTTGACAACTATAAGCGATCTTAAAAGGAAGAACTAATGAATGAGTCTAAGTGGCGAAATGCCTCCGATCTAAAATCCTCGAGACTCTTATCGAGACCCTTAAACTTATCAAGACACTTACCACTAGATAATGATACACTTGCAGTAGTATTCTCAGTCGTCTGAAACATGCTCGATTATAATAGCAGATATAACGATTGTCGAGTAGAAAAAAAAAATCGTTTCTACGCCTCCTAATAATTTTATAGCGTACGTACCATCGTGATCTCATTACCGGGCCCTCGCGAAATGAGAACATCTCACAAATCAATAACGAACTTCTTATTAAAGTTAATAAAAGGACTTATTCGTTGCTGAACATGCTATCTAGCCAGCTGTACGGGAGACTCTAAACATGGAATATCTAAGTGTAATGCTATGAGATACTTTGCGGTGAAATTTGGACGGTATCTGAACATTCCTTTTTGAGATTGTAATTAGATTCTTACTGAGATGAGATTTCTGTAGTCCACTTATACTTATACTCACTTAAGCTCCCGATCCAGACAATGATATTATAGACGCGATAGTTCGTGATGTTCACTTAAACTTTACATGTCTATATTTTGCAAGATAATCCTCATCATAAAGAAATATCAACCGATACGATTGTAATCTGTCAAGATCTTAATATTAATTTTTCATATTGTATATATATATATATATACAATATATGCATATATGCATATATGCATAATACATATAATATAACAAATTATTGAGTCACATATTATTGACTATTGTGTTTTACGATTTTGTGATATATTTCAAACACTATCAATAAGTATTAAGTAATAATAGTGTTACCGATCAAGTGTTGTCAATCCTAGAAGAGGAGCACAAATAATTATGTGCTGACTTCATGAATCAGATGCAGATGACTCAGATCAAGATAATATGCTCTTTAATTAACGTGTTGGATAAGTGCCAAATCTCTCACCTCAGCAAGTGAGTAATCAGAAGGATCAGCATTATCAGCGTTATCACCAACATACTCTGTATTCTCCACTAACATATCATTGATACTCGTGTTGAACTGAGTGGAGGGTTTAACTGGTGCACTTCCGTGGAGGTTTATTACTGAGTCTACTGATTGACTGAATGAGCCCTGAGGGGTTGAAGTGTTGTGTAAGTAGGTAGTGCACCCCCAGTGTAAGTGTTGTGTAAGTAGGTAGTGCACCCCCCCCGTGTAAGTATTGTGTAAGTAGGTAGTGCACCCCCAGTGTAAGTGTTGTGTAAGTAGGTAGTGCACCCCCAGTGTAAGTATTGTGTAAGTAGGTAGTGCACCCCCAGTGTAAGTATTGTGTAAGTAGGTAGTGCACCCCCAGTGTAAGTGTTGTGTAAGTAGGTAGTGCACCCCTAGTGTAAGTGTTGTGTAAGTAGGTAGTGCGCCCCCAGTGTAAGTGTTGTGTAAGTAGGTAGTGCACCCCCAGTGTAAGTATTGTTTAAGTAGGTAGTGCACCCCCAGTGTAAGTATTGTGTAAGTAGGTAGTGCACCCCCAGTGTAAGTATTGTGTAAGTAGGTAGTGTACCCCCCAGTGTAAGTATTGTTTAAGTAGGTAGTGCACCCCCTAGTGTAAGTGTTGTGTAAGTAGGTAGTGCACCCCCCAGTGTAAGTATTGTGTAAGTAGGTAGTGCACCCCCAGTGTAAGTATTGTGTAAGTAGGTAGTGCACCCCCCAGTGTAAGTGTTGTGTAAGTAGGTAGTGCACCCCCCAGTGTAAGTGTTGTGTAAGTAGGTAGTGTACCCCCAGTGTAAGTATTGTTTAAGTAGGTAGTGCACCCCCCAGTGTAAGTATTGTGTAAGTAGGTAGTGCACCTCCAGTGTAAGTGTTGTTTAAGTAGGTAGTGCACCCCCAGTGTAAGTATTGTGTAAGTAGGTAGTGCACCCCCAGTGTAAGTATTGTGTAAGTAGGTAGTGTACCCCCCAGTGTAAGTATTGTTTAAGTAGGTAGTGCACCCCCCAGTGTAAGTATTGTGTAAGTAGGTAGTGCACCCCCCGTGTAAGTATTGTGTAAGTAGGTAGTGCACCCCCCAGTGTGAGAGAAAAACAAGATAAGCTGGTTAAGGGCCGGCTTAACAATTTGAAATAAGAAATAAAAAAGCCAGAGCTCCACTGACAAAGACGTTTCTTGGCTGTTCTCCAAACCACCATCTCCCTAACCTTGATAGTTTCTAGTTTCTCAAAAGTAGATGGCGCTCCAGTACCATGTACGATTTCCTCTTCTTCCTCAGTTATTGTATCAAATGATTGCTGGAGACATAACTGGGACCTGTGTCTTTTCAGTTTCATCGTCTGGAAGTGAAGTCACGTGGTTACGTCCCGTGGTAATTAAATTTAAAATTGAGCTTTGCAATTGATTTTAAGTCGCTGACCGAATCGTTGTTAGGGATGACGAAAACCGCAAACAATTTATCCCAAAAAATATAAAATCAGAAACAAACAACCGAACATCTACACTCAAACCTTTGGAAAAGATTTATCCGCCGTCACACCACCCTGATCCTTAGAACTCCCCTGAACCACCGCAGTCTTAGAATAAATCTCCGGCAGAGAATGGGACCTGATCATCTTGGGACGTTTACCATTAGAAGATTATGACGAAGTGGAGGGTGTTCTCTGGACTGGCACTTGTTTGTTGGAGTGACTGCTGCTGGATGTGCTTCCTGGTGCGGTTAATTGTCAGGCGGAGAGGGAAGTGGTACCTGAGGTGCGGTTAATTGTCAGGGTCGGAGTTTAGGGTATATGATTAATTAATTAATTAATTAGTTTAGGGTATATAATTAAGGGTTTTAATTTAAACTGTGTACCGGTTAGGGCCCATAGGCCCTAGAGTATAATAATTTAGAAGAGAAATACTCAAGAAAAAATGATTGCTAACGCATAAACAAAGCAGCGTAATCAATGCAATAAAAACTGTTTGCAATCACACCCTATATAAGCTATATAAGCTATATAACACACCCTATATATAGGGTGTATAAGTTATATAAGCTATATAAGCAATATAACACACCCTATATATAGGGTGTATAAGCTATATAAGCTATATAAGCTATATAAGCAATATAGGCTATATAAGCTATATAAGCTATATAAGTATATAGATTTTAAGGACCCGATTCATTTGTTCCATAAGTTCAACCCTTTTATTTTTCTAGTAAAAATGCAGCTTTCATAAAGCAAGAACCTTACTAAGATCCGGAAATGAACTGAGTGTACACACAGGGTGGGGGGAGGGGGGGGAGAGTCAGTACACATACGTTGGGTCCTATAACTTAGCCATGATAATTAAGACCCAAAGTATGTGCACTGACTTTTGGCCCCAGTCAGACTTAAACCTGATGTCTTGGCTGAAGGGCGAATTGGACAGTTTTCGAAACTGCTATTCGAGGATTCTCCTCTGCTGGTGTTGAAACTGTGGGCTAGGGAAATTAAAATTAGGAGTTATATTTTTAAAACTATATCGTGTTTTCTGCTCTCAAACTTCAAATTTGAGTAAATATCCTTAATCAAATTAATACAGCTATCTAGTTTAAGTTAAAACGATTCAAAATCATAGTTTTTAATCAAAGCATTGCACTAATTCAACTTCAGGAGAACTAATTACCGGATTTGTAAGAAGTATCTGTCATGCTCATATCATCCACAACCTCTTCCTCCATTGCGGGAGTATCATCCATCATGTTAAACAGGTAATCAAAGTTAGAGATAGGCGCTGTCTGGTCAGACCAGTTCACTTGACCGTTCCAATCTCCTGCAGACAACATTGTTAGTTTCAGCTTTTAATCACTATTTAGCAGTCACGATCTGAGGATTGAGAAAGGTCGCTACACTGGAGATCGTTACAACACAGCACTGAAAACATGTCGCTTTTGCTGCTCCTCAGACACCGACGTCATGCGGTCTCTTCTAAATTATTATACTCTAGGGCCTATGGGCCCTAACCGGTACACAGTTTAAATTAAAACCCTTAATTATATACCCTAAACTAATTAATTAATTAATTAATCATATACCCTAAACTCCGACCCTGACAATTAACCGCACCTCAGGTACCACTTCCCTCTCCGCCTGACAATTAACCGCACCAGGAAGCACATCCAGCAGCAGTCACTCCAACAAACAAGTGCCAGTCCAGAGAACACCCTCCACTTCGTCATGGTCTTCTAATGGTAAACGTCCCAAGATGATCAGGTCCCATTCTCTGCCGGAGATTTATTCTAAGACTGCGGTGGTTCAGGGGAGTTCTAAGGATCAGGGTGGTGTGACGGCGGATAAATCTTTTCCAAAGGTTTGAGTGTAGATGTTCGGTTGTTTGTTTCTGATTTTATATTTTTTGGGATAAATTGTTTGCGGTTTTCGTCATCCCTAACAACGATTCGGTCAGCGACTTAAAATCAATTGCAAAGCTCAATTTTAAATTTAATTACCACGGGACGTAACCACGTGACTTCACTTCCAGACGATGAAACTGAAAAGACACAGGTCCCAGTTATGTCTCCAGCAATCATTTGATACAATAACTGAGGAAGAAGAGGAAATCGTACATGGTACTGGAGCGCCATCTACTTTTGAGAAACTAGAAACTATCAAGGTTAGGGAGATGGTGGTTTGGAGAACAGCCAAGAAACGTCTTTGTCAGTGGAGCTCTGGCTTTTTTATTTCTTATTTCAAATTGTTAAGCCGGCCCTTAACCAGCTTATCTTGTTTTTCTCTCACACTGGGGGGTGCACTACCTACTTACACAATACTTACACGGGGGGTGCACTACCTACTTACACAATACTTACACTGGGGGGTGCACTACCTACTTAAACAATACTTACACTGGGGGGTACACTACCTACTTACACAATACTTACACTGGGGGTGCACTACCTACTTACACAATACTTACACTGGGGGTGCACTACCTACTTAAACAACACTTACACTGGAGGTGCACTACCTACTTACACAATACTTACACTGGGGGGTGCACTACCTACTTAAACAATACTTACACTGGGGGTACACTACCTACTTACACAACACTTACACTGGGGGGTGCACTACCTACTTACACAACACTTACACTGGGGGGTGCACTACCTACTTACACAATACTTACACTGGGGGTGCACTACCTACTTACACAATACTTACACTGGGGGGTGCACTACCTACTTACACAACACTTACACTAGGGGGTGCACTACCTACTTAAACAATACTTACACTGGGGGGTACACTACCTACTTACACAATACTTACACTGGGGGTGCACTACCTACTTACACAATACTTACACTGGGGGTGCACTACCTACTTAAACAATACTTACACTGGGGGTGCACTACCTACTTACACAACACTTACACTGGGGGCGCACTACCTACTTACACAACACTTACACTAGGGGTGCACTACCTACTTACACAACACTTACACTGGGGGGTGCACTACCTACTTACACAATACTTACACTGGGGGTGCACTACCTACTTACACAACACTTACACTGGGGGTGCACTACCTACTTACACAATACTTACACGGGGGGGGTGCACTACCTACTTACACAACACTTACACTGGGGGTGCACTACCTACTTACACAACACTTCAACCCCTCAGGGCTCATTCAGTCAATCAGTAGACTCAGTAATAAACCTCCACGGAAGTGCACCAGTTAAACCCTCCACTCAGTTCAACACGAGTATCAATGATATGTTAGTGGAGAATACAGAGTATGTTGGTGATAACGCTGATAATGCTGATCCTTCTGATTACTCACTTGCTGAGGTGAGAGATTTGGCACTTATCCAACACGTTAATTAAAGAGCATATTATCTTGATCTGAGTCATCTGCATCTGATTCATGAAGTCAGCACATAATTATTTGTGCTCCTCTTCTAGGATTGACAACACTTGATCGGTAACACTATTATTACTTAATACTTATTGATAGTGTTTGAAATATATCACAAAATCGTAAAACACAATAGTCAATAATATGTGACTCAATAATTTGTTATATTATATGTATTGTGCATATATGCATATATGCATATATTGTATATATATATATATATATACAATATGAAAAATTAATATTAAGATCTTGACAGATTACAATCGTATCGGTTGATATTTCTTTATGATGAGGATTATCTTGCAAAATATAGACATGTAAAGTTTAAGTGAACATCACGAACTATCGCGTCTATAATATCATTGTCTGGATCGGGAGCTTAAGTGAGTATAAGTATAAGTGGACTACAGAAATCTCATCTCAGTAAGAATCTAATTACAATCTCAAAAAGGAATGTTCAGATACCGTCCAAATTTCACCGCAAAGTATCTCATAGCATTACACTTAGATATTCCATGTTTAGAGTCTCCCGTACAGCTGGCTAGATAGCATGTTCAGCAACGAATAAGTCCTTTTATTAACTTTAATAAGAAGTTCGTTATTGATTTGTGAGATGTTCTCATTTCGCGAGGGCCCGGTAATGAGATCACGATGGTACGTACGCTATAAAATTATTAGGAGGCGTAGAAACGATTTTTTTTTTCTACTCGACAATCGTTATATCTGCTATTATAATCGAGCATGTTTCAGACGACTGAGAATACTACTGCAAGTGTATCATTATCTAGTGGTAAGTGTCTTGATAAGTTTAAGGGTCTCGATAAGAGTCTCGAGGATTTTAGATCGGAGGCATTTCGCCACTTAGACTCATTCATTAGTTCTTCCTTTTAAGATCGCTTATAGTTGTCAAGCGATGCGACGGTAAAATTTTTGTTTACCATTAAATAAATTTTAATTCTTTTAACGAGATGCATTTCAATCCTTTAAAATGTAATATATTTAGTAGCTTTCAAAGGAATTATTTATGTCAGAAAAGAAATCTGCAAAACTTAAACGGCAAAGTTGCGAAGAAGTGTATCAGTAAGTTTTGCAATGTTGACCAATTGTTGACCAAATGTTGAACAAATGTTGACCAAATGTTCACCATGTCGAAATTCTTATCAAATAAAACTGTTTACCGCTGGTTATTCAGCTCACAGCTGCAATCGATGGTTTATATATTGAGTGGACCAAAATTTTCGCAATGCAAGCACTGCGTTGTCGTACAAATATCAGGCACTGAATATTCGGACATTGCGTTAGTTTTGGCCCAAACAGTATGATTTGTGCTGAACTGATTATATTTTTGCAACTTTCTCTGTGATTGAAATGCTGCATTTTAATTTTAATTTTAAAAAGAATGTTAATTGACTGATTGTTGATTGTTTAAATGAATGCTGATGACAATAATATTATTTGTATAATTGGAATCCCTCGTTAGTTTTTGTTTTATCATTTCAAATTTACGCTGAAATTCGAGTTTGCTTTGTATAAAACTCCAGCTGCGGCTTGATCGGGCTGACTTAAAATGTTAATTTTTAATTTTGATAAAATTAAAACAATTATTTAATAAAAAATAGTTATAGGTTTATGTTCTTGGTTCTTGGGTTTATAGTTATGGGTATGGGTTTAGGATTAGGGTGAGCGTAAAGAGTCCTTACTAATACTAAGGTCAAGGACTAGTGGTAATGGTAAAGGGTAAAAATTACAGTATTTCTTTGTTATAGAGATAACACGCCTTCTGGTTTTATAAAATCAGCCTAGAATCGTCTAAATAAAGATATCAGGGCATCCAGAAGCTAAATCATTGGAGGACTTCGCCTCTCGACGCGCCGCGCGAACTATCTCGATGGGTTGACATCGTCAATCAACTAGATCACAATTCCACCTGAAAATGGGTGTCGCCTCTGGGTTATTCCCATGATATTTGACATTTTTTCGTTAATTTAAACTTGGAGAAAGATCTGTCCAAAGTGAAAAGACTGAAAGGTTTCAGAAAATTAACAGGTATATATGGATAAATTACTGAACTATTTGGAAAGTGCTCAATCAAATATAGCAGGCACATGAAGCGCGTGGTACATTTGTTTTCTGTACTACTGTACAGTATAGTACTGTATTACTGTACTACTGTACAGTATAGTACTGTATTCCTGTACTACTGTACAGTATAGTATTGTATTCCTGTACTACTGTACAGTATAGTACTGTATTACTGTACTACTGTACAGTATAGTACTGTATTACTGTACTACTGTACAGTATAGTACTGTATTCCTGTACTACTGTACAGTATAGTACTGTATTACTGTACAGTATAGTACTGTATTACTGTACGGTATAGTACTGTATTACTGTAAAGTATAGTACTGTATTACTGTACTGGTCTAAATTGAAACACAGCACTGTTACTTAGTCTTCACTGCTACTTCCCAGGGACCTTTTATGTGAACCGACCCCTTGGGACGAACTGAAGAACAAGCTGGAGGCGGTGGAGAGAAAGAGCTGGAATAATTCCTACAGTCTTATCAGGGAGAGAAGGAAGATGTTCTCTAAACTGAAGGGATCTCATGTCTCTTTGCCCGGCTGCATTGGCCAATCAGAGAGGTCCATGAAGTATTTTTTTCTTTTATTCTTTTTTTTTCGTCGTCTATGCCTCAAAATTAAACTGATGGTTCCTGTAAAAATTACACGTCCCACAAACTTTAGCTTTTTTAGCTGACTAATCTCCAGGTCAAGGAACATACTGATAGGTAGAATAACAGTTCACAACATAACCACTAACATACTGATAGGTAGAATAACAGTTCACAACATAACCACTAACATACTAACATACTGATAGGTAGAATAACAGTTCACAACATAACCACTAACCTTCATCATATAATCAATAAAAATGATTATTATACAAGTGCTAAGGCCTGTCGTGATATCTGGGATCAACATAGGTACACCGAGATCATTTTTCATAATACAGCCACAGGGTGGGCCAAAAGTCAGTGTGCAAACGTTGGCCTTGATAGCTCAGTCACTGAGTGCCCAATTGAAATAATTCTTTCTGGTATGACTTACTGCCACCACTGGTTTGAGGAATTTGCCAAATCGAAAAATATTCGTGTTCATTTTTTTCAAATGAAGGTTCATTTTCGCATTTATTTAATAGTTTGGATACTAAAGCTAAATTTTGTTGGATTGTGTTTGTCCATTCAAATTATGTTTGTCCTGAATTAAAATGAGTTGTAGCTTCTCAGATGACCGAGATACGAAGCATAACGAGTTTATTCATTACGCGTGATCAGGTGATTGGCTTACCTAATCTCGTGATGAGGTCACCCCGTTAACCTGCACCCCATTAAACATTATGAGAATCGTTAAGGCTGCCCAATTAAGGTGTCGTGTCACGGTGTCACATAATCACCTAGTCAATTTTGTTAACGAGATACACAAAATGCTTGATAACTTCGTCATTTATATTTATAATCCGTTTTGCCTAATTTTTTTCAGATCAGATACACCATTCAATAATAATCTACCGTCTATGAAAAAAATTAGGCATTCAGCAGGTTCAAAGTGAACGATATAGGTGTTTTAATATTGAATGGGCGTGGTCTAAAATATTCGAATTTTAAAATTTTTGCGACGGAATCCTCGAACAAGTTAGTACAGTATATGCCATCATATCTGCAAAGCAACAACTCTCAAATATAAAACACGGCGGAGGTATATTGTATAAGACCCAACGTTTGCACACTGACTTTTGGCCCACCCTGTATAACTAATATATTTACTCATTTTTAATTAGCAGCTGTATAAAGGTATCCGTTATTGCAGGGTAATCCTGCCGGTGCGACGCTGTATAACACTGTGTGCAGAACAGGAAACTGAAACAGACACCAGTGAGAGCCACAGCGAGGTTTCTGTGAATACCAAAAGGAGTGAACCAAGAGAGAAGACTACCAGTATATCCAGTATATCCTTACCTTTCTTTGGTTAGTGCAGTATGAGTAAGATAACTAGAGTCCAATAAAAAACCTTTTTATATCTGATCGAGAGATAATGAGGAAAACAATGTTGTTTAATTATGTTTCTTCCTCTACAAACTTTAAGCGATAAACTTTTTAAATCAAACTACTAGAAAGTGATAAACGACCCTGGTCATTAGAAACACCCCTGCATTTGGCAGAGTAGTGTTGGTTATGTGCCTAACCTGCTACGGCTAGTTAAACAAGGAATTGAAACTGTGGGGCTCCGTACAGACCAACCTACCTATGGCTAAAGCTCTAATATACAAAAACGATACATTATTGTAAATATATTATATTTCAGTATTATGTAACGCGATGGAAATATTTTAAGCGGGTAATATCCTGTCCAAACCCAGGGTACATAACATGAAGACTTTGTTGTAACTTTGTATGAAAAGCATTAAAAGTTCTTCCTGTGACAATCTTCTACAGTTAAATTGGGAAAAACGTGGTCCATCTCGTGCGATTTTTCCTAACGACCAGGGTCAACTAGTATCCTAATATTAACTTTCCTAAGGACCAGGGTCAACTAGTTACATGTTACATGTATCAACTAGTATTCTAACAATATTGTCCACTGTCCAGAGAGTGACAACGATGCAACAAGTGCTACAACTATAGATTCAGACAGTGCCTGGTTCGCTCCAGCTATCACTGTTGAGCAGTTTGTTACGGAGGATAGTATAGATGAGATTCCAAACTTCGCCCCACAAGATGGTCAACTCTCTCTACCTTCATTTAATGGTGATTAAATTATAACCGTACCCTTGGTATGATTAAAATGCTCATAGTTTATAGATAAGTCTTGATGTAGTTTTCAGATTATGTATTTACTAGAACTGATAAAGATTTGGACAACCAATTTGCGTTCAACCAGTGAAAATTAAAGTCTTCACGTTTCAAATCTTCAATGGGAAGTTATAATATCATATTCAGGACGACCAACGTCGCCAGCTCTATCAAACGCGAGTGAAGCTACCCTTATACCGGAGGACGAAGATATTGAACAAGAGAAGGTATTACAACTTTAAAACATTTAAAAAATTGCAGATGAATTTATTAATTGAACACATTCGGATCTTTCACAAGTGATTAAAAATTATATAAATCATAAGTACAAACCAAACTAATTTGATAATTCAAAAATAATAAAAACACCAGCAGCTGGAGAAATCAGAGGGTATAGTCGAGCTAGAAAAGCCCGCTCAACCATCAACTAGCACAGCAACCAAGCAAGTTCCCCGGACTGGTCGACTGAAGAAGATGAAGTCGAATGTGATCTTCAGTTCGCTTCATGACAGTTATAACTCACCCTTTTATATCTACACTCCTAAACTTGGGTTTCGTAAGGTAAGGCTTTATTTGTTTACATCATTTTCAGATTCACCAGTTCAGCTATATCACGTGATCTATGCGATAAAAACTTAACCATACTTGATACTCAATTTTACGTTTCTAAAATCTCAGTAAGTTTTCCTAGTAAGCAATTCAGTCATAAGTTTAACATATTTTCAGCGTTCATCGTCGATGCCCCTGCTTTACAAGCCCACTTTGGTTCGGAGCAAATTGAGGAGGGCTGTAACGGACAGCCCACACTCCTTAAATAATATCATCGAGGTAATTACATTATATTAGTGTTACTTACTCAATAATCTGTAAGTGTTTAAATTAAGTTTTACCAGGTTAGACATCAGTGCTGCACGCCACCGCCGAACGCCACCGCCGCCGATAATTTTCCGGTCACGCCGCCGCCGCCGTTTTCAAACGGCGTACCCGGCGTGAACCTGTTTATACGCTGAATGCACCATTTCGTAATTTTGAAAATTGAATCTGCGAAATCACGTGACCTCACGCCGATTACGCCGCCGGCCACCGTCGACGATTTTAACCACGCCGCTGCCGTTTTAAAAAAATGGCGGCGTGCAGCACTGTTAGACATGAAAACCGTTATAGAAATTGAAAATGAAGAGATCGCAATCTTTTACAGCCTCTATATAGTCGTTACCTAACTCAACTTGTGCCATTGACTGAACTTTATCATCTTCCAGGAATACGATGCAGATGTAGATGATGACGAGTTGATGTGTGAGCAGGAAGAGTGGGATAGCCGGATCTACATCAACATTCTCAAATCTATCACAAGCAGTTCTAATGAGAACTTGTTGAAGCAGATAGAGGATAGGGTTAGTAAATTAATTGTTTTGTTAAATAATTGTTTATAAGATAACTTTTTGTTAAATTATTTTTGTATTAGTAAGTTATTTGATCAGGAGGAGATGACAAGCCTTCCCAAACTTGCACATCTCAGTATAATTTAAATATTATTAAATATTAAACATTATTATCATCACACCTCTTTAGTCTTTACTTTATAACTGTAAATTATAAATATAAAGTGAACCATAACTTACTGATCTTGCTGCACTTTGGCTGACCAAGGTACGCATTTTCTCCCATACAAGTAACTAGACTGTCCCCTGAGTTTGTGTAGCCCTTATCACATGACACTGTCAGTGTGGTACCGTATGAAATGGGCCAGGTTAACATTTCAGGGTAGTATAATATGTTTTTCCATGGTAGAGGTTCACAATCTGTATAACAAATAAGTTAACAGCAATAGTTATTTTATGATTTTAGACTTTACTTTCAGTTAATTGAGACTTAGTTTGTCTGTATGGCAAAGAATTTGCGAATATTCTTAAAAACAAGAATCCTCAAATCGGGCAATTTGAGGATCAAATTAGTGAACTTTAAATAAATTCAAAATACCCACCCCCGGGAGCTTTCCTGCGTTGCACAAAAAGTTCATGTTTCTCTACTGTCAACCAAAACGAGTTTAATCCCCAAAACCGCTCACACTCATCATAGCCAATGATATTCTGTATTCTGAAGTTGAGCACTAAGATATTATTACAAAGGATCTTTATCTGAGGTACAGCCCCCTCCGCGTAGATTACCGACCATATTTTGTACCTGCAGGATACATTAGGGAGCTAAATACCTTATCGGACCTTATGTGAACGGACATTAATTGAACGCTGGCGGTCCTAGCGTTCATCTTAATGTCCGTTCAAATAAAGTCCGTCTGTTTAAGGTCCGTCCAAGTTAAAGTCCGTTGAGATTTTTTCCAAAATTATTCCACTGCGAACTCATGTTTAGGATATGACAACTTTTTAATTTCAGTCAATTGTAATTTCTATCATCGGATTCGGACTAAACTAAATCATTGGATCAATGAAAAACGAGTTATTATACAATTTAAATATTCTAAGTATCACATTATCATTATGGCATGATCACTTTCTTGATCTTCGGCTTCCTCGTTCACTTCTTCGGAGTTATTATTTACCTCCACATCTTGTAAGTTTACACAGAAATCCAGGACCGAGGTGGTCAAATAAAATATTGTTTTCAAAAAGCAGGTATTACTGATATGATGCTTTAAGCAACAACTTTTATAATCATAGACACTGATCTACAGATATGTTGACATATTTTACTGCTTAATGACTGCCTTTTTTGCTCATTTTATGAAAAATTATCTGCTAAAATTTTTAAAACGCAAAAAAAAAGATTTAAAAATTTTGATTTTTGATGGTTTTGAATGCCTTCGAGCGTTCATTTTAATGTCTTGAAAAGCAACAGCATAGATAAGCTATCTTTCACTAAGATAAGTTATCCTCTACTGTATCTTATCGACAAACAAACTGGTTTGAATCACGCAATAAAAAGTTTATAAATCTATAAATACTTGTCAGCAGGAACATTAATAAACTGCTTCTTAAAGTGCGGGGTGCATCTGCTGATCTCGTAAGAATAGTCATCAAACCTCCAGGATATATCTCTCTGGTTGGTTGGGCTTGATATATCTCCGTCATACACTTGTATCTTTATAGTCTGGTAGAAGAATCATATTTCAAGAGAAATTATTCCTTTCTGTGTTAGTACTTAGTTTGATAAAGATAATTTAGGTTTTATTAGAGTCCTTTAATTAGATAAAAAGAATGCGACACTGCGAAATGATCAGTGTAATTACGATCGTATCAGTTAAACAAAAATTTCAGTTAAACAAAAATTTATTTATGAACAGATCTAGTATTTATCTCACTTGATCACAATCACCATCTTCACACACAAACTCTGTCTTGAGCTGAAGAGGATCCTCCTTCAGATTGTATTGGATATACTGAGCACTATCCGTCACTGGAACCCAATAAGCTCCTGGTTATGGAAACTATGAGCTGTTATTTATGAGAAGAACAGTTTTAATGGCATGACTATCTTTGTATACCGAGGACCAGCAATGATGTTATTCATACTAGGCTGAAAGGCCAGCGAAGTCCAAGCTATAAGTTATAGGGCCTGTCGTGATATCATGGATCGCTTAGGTTCCACCAGGATCTGGTATTCCTCATAATTCTGCGGCCTCTATGTATCAAAAAAAGAGAAAATTGGCATGTGAAATTGGCATGTGAAAATTTGCAACCTTCCAGACATTGATTGGGTCAACGAGGTGTCGTACGTCACCTCAAGATCAGGTGATAGGGGGCTGACCAGGCCAGAACCCAATTAATTGGGTCTGAGGTCACGTGATTATGAGCCTGAGGTCACGTGACTATGACGTCACCAGAGCTTGTTCTCCGAGCTCAATCTACTTGATCAGGCCTTATATGGAATAATATAGTGTATCGCATGTAATTGGATCCAATTATAGGAGCTGCGCAATTATCGCAGCATATTGATCTGGTATCACCTTCTGAAACCCAGCAGGCAGCTGGGCCAGAGATTTGAGAATAGAAGGATTATTTGTTAATGAAAATCGAAGTGAAAATCATGTAACCATATGTTTTCGAGGACGCTGAACACGATAAAGCTGGTTATAATTATCATACTTCAGGGCAAATTGCTTTAAAATGCACTTGAATGCCATATATGTTATTATAAGCTAAGCGCCTAAGCGGCTTATCGGGTGGCACCGGTCTCTCTGCCGAATCTCAGTAATTGTAAACAACGACGCTTTTAGTTTACAGCCAATGAGCGGGCTTATGAAGGAAAGATCTCGAGTTGAGAAAACGAAACAAATTTTTTCCAAATATTTGCTAAAGATTAACGAATACGGATAATAAGTTACCTTGTTTTTTATGGGCGCTCCCAAGACCAAAAAATAAAAACAATAAAGAACTCAAACCCCAAATCATTTGCTCCAATCTCAAAATGGAATACGTCAAACTCTTCTAAACGTAATGAAACAAAACCACTGTCACGCTGTAACCTCAGTATCTTTGGTGCCGAGGTGGAAAGGAATTACTGGCAGTGATTTACCAGAGCAGTTTGGACACCTTTAAACATTAAACACCTGCTGAATTTGATTACTTTACTGCCACAAATTGAGTGGAAGAGAGTCGCTAGTATTGGGTGGAAGTTTTAGAATCATGCAGTCAGTCGATAAAAACAGCTACAATATTTATAGTAGCTTTTAAAACGATACCCATATTAATTCATCAGCTACATGTCTACTAAACATTGTCTAGGTACATGTACGTGTCTCGTGGTTATTAAAATGTTTGGTTTGAGATATTTGCGTGAACATGCCATCTGGTGAAGTAACACTAACAACTAATTGCTCGGCCCCCAGTTTAAACTCAATTACTGTGTTGACAGAGTTAAACACCGGGGTCTCTCTGAAGATGAGGTTGTTTGGTGGGAAGCGTTCACGTTGCAACCACAATGTTTTAGTGAAGGTGTGAACACTGAACAGGGTGTATTATGGGATCGTTCGTTATTTTATTAACTTTATAGACCACACATTTAATTTCAGTGAAGATAAAGATATACAACACTATAGTTCTGCATAACTGCACAAGTACTACTATAACTACTGAATAAAGTTATTATGATCTAGTGCTTAGCTTCTTGGATCAGTGATAAGTTCAACACACTTAATCACATAGTGATAAGAGTCGCATCTCAGTTTACGATAAGATGACCAATTGTACCCCTAAAATATTATTATGATTTAAATACCAGAGTCATACCAGAAAGAATTATTTCAATTGGGCACTCAGTGACTGAGCTATTAAGGCTAACGTATGCCCACTGACTTTTGGCCAATCCTGTATGATCTAAGATTCAGAAATTTGTAACGTTGACTGATGGTTGAAATAAAACTCGTCAGGTGGAGGGAACATCGGACGAAGTATTAAAAGTGAAGAGAAACGGAAGGAGGAAGAAAGCTTCCTTTTCTAAAAGCGGTGACGAGGAGATACCTACATCTAGTGGCGGAGAAAACAAGTCTGATCTTTTAGCTGTAAGTTAACTAGTTACTAAGTTACTAAGTTACTAAGTTAGCATAACTAAGTTACTAAGTTAGCAGAAAAGCAAGGTTATCACACCTGCATTTAGCATTAAACTTTTGTTTGGGGTCATCGTACAAAATTTATTATTTGACTGTTACTTTACTTACTTACTAACTCAGCTATTCGTTATGTCTCGACTTAATTTAATTATTCGTAATATGAATGTTTAACCTTAATATGACCTTGTAAAGTGCTTTGTGCAACAAGTGTTTGTCTCAATGAGTAATTTTAATACTTGAGCAAGAAAGTCCCCAGACACAAAGTATGCTCATAAAATATGCACATAAAGTATGCACATAAAGTATGCACATAAAATATGCACATAAAGTATGCACATAAAGTATGCACATAAAATATGCACATAAAGTATGCACATAAAGTATGCACTTCCTTAACCACCTCCTACTTCCAAGCATCCCTTTCACTCCTTTAATCCCCACAGGTGAAGCCTAGACGAAAGCGACGGCGGAGCCGCGACAAGAAGATGGACACAGACACCTCCTACTTATCACCAGCAATCAGCCCTTATGAGCACCAAACGTCAGATCAGATTATCAGGTACAAGAATATGTCGTCTGAGTATCTGGTTAGAGTTTTCAATTTTGCTGAACAGGCAGTTCCTTAGAAAACACGAGGGTATATATAAATAGTTCTTTAGAATTAAAAATGGCCTCAGTTATGCAATACTCGGCGTTTGCGGCAAATCAGGGCGAGGCAAATCAGGTTTTCCATTACCAGTTATAGTAGTTATAAAGTTAGCAGTCCCACTGGAATACCCGGTAAAATAGTTAAACATCCGGTCTTGAACTAAATGGCAATATAAAGGGCAATATAAAGGGCAATATAAAGGCAATATAAAGGGCAATATAAAGGGCAATATAAAGGCAATATAAAGGCAATATAAAGGCAATATAAAGGCAATAAAGGCATTATAAAGGGCAATATAAAGGGCAATATAAAGGGCAATATAAAGGCAATATAAAGGCAATATAAAGGGCAATATAAAGGCAATATAAAGGCAATATAAAGGCAATATAAAGGCAATATAAAGGCAATATAAAGGGCAATATAAAGGGAATATAAAGGGAATATAAAGGCAATATAAAGGGCAATATAAAGGGCAATATAAAAGAAATATAAAGGCAATATAAATTGCAATATAAAGGGCAATATAAAGAGCAATATAAAGGGCAATATAAAGGGCAATATAAAGGCAATATAAAGGCAATACAAAGGGCAATATAAAGGGCTATATAAAGGCAATAAAAAGGGCAATATAAAGGGCAATATAAAGGCAATATAAAGGGCGATATAAAGGGCGATATAAAGGGCAATATAAAGGCAATATAAAGGCAATATAAAGGCAAGAGAAGATCATGTTATTGATCCCTTGCTCTTCTCCGTGATGCTCAACGTTTATGATTACAATCCCCAAGTTTGGTATAATGAACTCACTTTCTCTCTCTCCCCTTGAGATAATTTGATTGGATCTTCTTTGCGTTAAGCTGGGACTTAAACATCAACTGATTTGTTTCGAGCGCAGGATATCACAGTGCTGGCAAGCACGACCGTTGACTTTATACCCCCTTTACTATCATACCCCCTTTATTAATATACCCCTTTACTGTTTTGATTGGTGTATCATTTCTTTTTTTGGGAAAGAGAGACCCTGGCGGCCTGGCAACGGTCCACTCTACCCAATTATGGGTTTTAGTAAAAATACCTTTATATTTGGATATGTTTCTCTCCGTATTGAGCTAGTCCGAGTCGTGTTGTTTTATGATTCATAAGTTAAAGTTTGATACAAATTCGCAGTAATTTCAGGCAAAATGTTTGTTCTAAGAGTGGATCATAAGAACATGGACTGTTCAATGATATCCTGGTCACCAAGCAGATAGGAACGGGTCAGGCTACATTTGACGAAAAAATAGTTTTTTTAAGAACAGTATGCTGCGATATGGGGTGTGCATTTAGTATGACAAACCCGCTTAAATCAAATTAAATCCGATATCGAAGCTTGAAGCATCCTGCATGGTGTATGATATGTTACATGAATAATATTGATGCATGATCCATGATGGGGGTCCGACTATCCGAGGATCGTTCACATGTTATTATTACGAAAGCCATACTATTATTACGAAAGTAACTTTTCCACTTAGTACCTCCATCCCCGCTATGATTACATATTTTCCCACAATTTTTTCCCGATCCATGACTCAAAGTGCCGAAGGCACAAAAGAGTCTGCAAGGACAAGGGTTAGCAAACGAGGTTTTTTTTGTATATGGTAGCTTTGCGACCCTGCGAGCGAGCGTACGTGCCCTATTAGTTATAACTTTGCGGACTTTGTCACTCCGCAAAGTTATTTTGCGCAATATCTGAATGAAATTGGTATTGGCACGCGACGCTGAATTGAACCGATCAAGTAAATCGTTAATTTCACCACGTACGTATCCAACTAGCTAGGCACTAATTATTAGCATATTATTTTGAGTTAGTATTATAGTATTACCATTTTGCACAGATCCGTGTCATATCAGGTTGCATAAACAATATAAATAAACATATGGTTAGTGCATGTAACATAGAAATGTATACGATTTTAAAATTTAATATGGAATTAACTGGGCGGCGCTCGGCCTATCACTCCGCCATATCTGCATGCTTATAAAGTATAAACAGTAAAGCCTGGGGTCCCCAGGTTGTATGGAATATGATAAAATATGCCATCACGGATCGGGAAATTGAGCGGCCATCCACAAAAGAAAAGCGGCCGCATTTCTTGTTGCTATCACGTTTAAAAGGTTTCTTTAGGGGGATTCTAACATACGGCCCCGATAAATAATGTGTGAACGATTTCTCAGAAAATATCGATATTATTATAATTATATGCATACCTCAAAGGCTAAAATAGCTATTTTATCCCACAGTGACAGATCTTCAATGAATACTACTCCAGAACCACCTCAAACCTACAACCTACTCTCTCCAAAACCAACCCTGGAACCATCACCTCACCAAACTAATCGCTGTGAAGAATCATATCTGAAGGAGGGGACAGCTGACTTGGTTCCTCAAGAAAATACATTAAATGGAGAAGTCCAGATGGATAAACCAAATGAAGCTATCGTTACTGGTAATCGTTATAATGCTGAAGATAGATCAGCTGCAGGACAAGTATCAAAGCCAATATCATCAAGTTGGAGCTTGGATTCAAAGCAAAGGGAAGTTCAGAGGAAGGGTAATAGCCCGGGAATAAAGAGTCGCCCATTGGCTGCATTACCTATTGTTACAGGTACGTGGGATTGTATTGCTGTCCGATAATGTCGGTTGGCGATTCTGGTTGCACAACAGATTGCTTTAAGTCATTACTTTATTCGTAATAAATTTGATAAACATAGAAAAATACATACAAATATATATAATGCATGCAATATCCCTCACATTCAGAGACGCTTCACGTACTCACGATCAACCGCGTAGCAACAAAATATGACTTTTTATTAGGTTCATAAAGCTCTTGCAGTGCTATGACTTTTTGTAATCTCTTGCAGTGCTTATAGACTATAGAGTCGTTTTGAGATTTTAGCGTCTCTTCGAGATTTTGATAAGCTTATCTGACGACGAAGAGGCATGAGCGTCCCTTCTTTTATCCATTAGACCACAGTCAACATGTATTTGTTACAGCGACCATGCTTTATTCCTCGATATAAATATTGGGTTCAATTAGACTTCATCGACGTATTTGCAGTTTCAATTAGAGTATGCAACTATAACAGTTTGATACAAGTTTATTCATGTAATTTTGCTACAAATTTTTGGACAAATTTAAAATCGATCTAAATTAGAAATAACTTAACAATCAGAAATTTCTATTTATCATCAAATAATTCCATCCGCATTCCTCCACCCTTTTAACTAAGAGATAAAAATTATTTCAGTAATTATTTGTAGTGACAGAGACTTTATACCAACCGTCTCAACTCCCATTTTCCCAGACGAAAGACTGTCAGACATAATTAAGAAGGACGAGGTAAGAGAAAACGACCTGGAGAAACCAGAATCACTGCAGCAGGAGACTGTAATTTCTACCGATAAGGGGAACCAAAGTGTAGAAGACGAGGTTAGTGGGTGATCTGGTTACACCTTTATCATTCTCCCTGATTCACGATTACATTTTTCTTTTTACCAGCTTCGTAACTAAGTTCTTACACTTATATTTATCTGATGTAGTTAAACAAAATATAAATATCAGACTGACCTGGAGAGGACCCCTGCTAATTTGGAGTGGGAGCTAAAGGTATTGCGGGACGTCATTGAACACTTTGAACAGGATTACGCCAAAACTGAGCAGATTTTGGAGGAAAAACGGATCAGAGATAAGCGAATCAGGTGCTGTTTTATTTTATTACCACAAACTCCGACGCATGAATTTAATTGGATGACTTAACTTGCATTAATTATAACAACTTAACTAACACATGTCTCCTAACAGGATGGAAATCAAGATGTTGAAAACACAAATAGCAGTTCACAAGATGGAAAAGAGGCTATGCGGAGAGCAGTTCCAACCTGTACTCACCTCCACTCCCCGTACTAAACCTCTTTCACCCAACACTGTTAAGAGTCACAAGTGTCAGGGGTCTGTTATTGCGCGGAGGAAGAACTCTTTGAATCATTTTCTTATCAATGAGAGTTGTTTTGTTGAGAAATAGCACGCGTTTTGTTTAGGTATGACTGATCAGTTTTGATTGTTGTGTTTTTATGTTCTTGGCTGTGACAAAAGAACAAAGTTGACGATGTGCTCTTTCAATATGACCAAAAGAAAAAGTTGACGATGTGCTCTTTCAATTTTATCAGTTATCAAGCTAGGTTGCCTTGTGAAAATCAGTTGTAGCAACCGGAACTGTTTGTTTTTAGATGTTGTATCAATTGTTGTTGATGGTAATGCTAATTTGAATTGCACTAATTCGCAACCTCAAAGACTTCCAACTACTCACCAAAACGCAATTTGGAACAGCTGATAGTTTTTTTTTTGCTACGGTAATATTATTTGTCATTAAAAAATTTTAAAGCTCATTTAACTTGAATGCTTCGCTTGCTGTGTGCTTTGTTATATTATGAATAGCACTTCCATTACATTCAATGTATTTATGTTATTCGTCAAGTTTTGTTGTGTCAAATCGCTGCTTTCAGAGTTTCATATACAATTCAGAATTCCAGAAGAATCTATAATATTTCAAAACTATTTTTTAAATTTTCAGTGAATGTCAAAATTAATTTATTATTCTTTGACAAACGTTTACTAGGTTAAGTAATGTATAGATGTAAAGTTTAAATCGTAATATAATAGCGATTCAAAATAATTCGCACAAGGTACTTCAATATGATAAAGAATAAAGATTTGTCAATAATAATTTGTTTTAAACTGTTCCAAACTTTCAAATTCTTTTATACAGCAGGGTGTCATAATTATTGGCGCGTAGACAATTTTGCGTAAAATTTTAGCTTACCCAAGCTTTTAGAAACGATCATTACTTGACTTCTGAGGGTCAGTTTCCTATGGAGTCTTGATCATCACGAAGTCCGAAAGAAGTTAAATTTCGTCGATAATCACGACGAAAGAGAAAAATTTGGATTATTGGACTTGAAGCCTTCGGCTGCTCCCCCTGAATTCCGGGATGAGTCCGCCTGACTATATTTTATTGCCAAATTTTGTCAAATTTAGAAAACCCATTCTACTGTAAAAGAAAGTGTGCCGATGCCCAGTTAGCTATCTACAGACGTACGCAGCTAATAATTGCTTATAATCCACGTGACTATCTAAGCTGCACATTATCTTCGTTTCCTAAAATAGCTTCACGGTCCTGGAACGCACGTGCAAAGTGGTGATGATTTAAGTAAGACTTATCGCACGTGCAGAGTGGTTATGATTTAAATGGAGCTAATTATAAGCCAAGTCTGTTGGCCTCTATGTATGTGCACTTTTCCTGTTAATTAGTTTGCAGCTAGATAATAAAGTTTATTGCTGTACGATGCCCGGATATTAAAACTTATTATGCTATTATTCTCTGCTACTACCCTCCCTAGTACTGAACGGACAAGTCTATTACTTTATCACTCCCGTCAGTAATTTCAATGATATTACTTCTGTGAGTAGGGATATGCCCGTTTTTGAGACGAAGAGATATCCTTTTTATTATTCATTCATTAAATTCATATTATCAAGCATTGTGCATACTGCATAATATGCTCATATCTTATAATGAAAGGATGTACCTACGTTTTTGAATATTGGTCCAGGATGAACAGTTCCTTTCGGTTGTATAATTCTTGTGAATGATTTGTCTTGGTCAAATTGTCGGTCACGAGAAAACGTTAGACTCCCCAGTTTCCTAAACGATAAGCTATTACTAATAAAAATGTGTCTCATATTTTATTTGAACAATGATACAATTTGTCCAAAGACAATAGAATGTAAAATCACATTTGAATTTCCTGTTGCTATTCATTCAGTTTGGTTTTGTTGACTTTTCAAATGCAAAAATCAGCAATTATTTTCCTGGCAACATTTAATCTTTCGACCGGTAATATATAGAATACTAGTGTAACCCGTGCATACGGCCGGGACTTCACTTTTGCAACTGAAATCCAAAAGTATAAACCCGCCTATTATATTCGAAAACACGCATTACATTTTCGTAGTTAAACCGGTGCGAAAGTATGAAGTCGCTCAATCCAAACACACCGAAATTTAATTCTGAGTGCCCCTCACGTATCTAATACTCTAATACTAATAGTAGTACTTGATAGGCAATCTTGAGGTCCACTTATGGGGAAGAGAGCGAGAGTGGGAGAGAGGGAGAGTACGTGAGACACTTTAGTATCACATTTGGTTCACAAAATGATCAATTAAACCACTTACCACCGACTGATTTAAAAAACCTTAATCATTTGGCTTCGTCAGAGTTTTGTTGAAACGATACCGAAAAAAACAGTCTCATAACTCTTATATTACCGTTTTCTTAATTAAGCCGTTCGGAAATTTCCCACACACACGCACACACACACACGAACCCACACACTTTTTGGGATTATTAGTATAGATAATGATGCGTTCAGAGTTAGGGCATAGGGCAATTGTATAACTAATCTTAAAATATTAACTAAACCACAATTATAAAAGATCGCGAAAGAGAAGGAGCTTGCTACTACCATTTGTTTAACGTTGAAATGTATTTAATAACGACTGTTATTGTACTTCTTACTGTCAACCTCAGCGAACAAACAAGCATAAGTGAGTGCCCGATCTCTTATATATTATATAATATATTCATATATCATTGATATTGATTATATGCACACATGACTGATGACATGTTCAATTAAATCCCAAAAAATACTAAAATTACGGGGGCCCCTTTTTCAGTGACCTACATGATGTCGCCAACGAGACACTCCCAAACGCTTGTAGAAGGAGAGGTTACCGTGCCTAGAGACCTTGCTAACTTCACCTTTTGTCTGAGAGTTAAACCAAGACTGGCACAAGACTGTGAACCTATCGCTGTGTCCTACAAAGGTAAGTAGCTGAGTCAGGTGAGTTACCTGCTGTGTCCTACAAAGGTAAGTAGCTGAGTCAGGTGAGTTACCTGCTGTGTCTTACAAAGGTAAGTAGCTGAGTCAGGTGAGTTACCTGCTGTGTCTTACAAAGGTAAGTAGCTGAGTCAGGTGAGTTACCTGCTGTGTCTTACAAAGGTAAGTAGCTGAGTCAGGTGAGTTACCTGCTGTGTTTTACAAAGGTAAGTAGCTGAGTCAGGTGAGTTACCTGCTGTGTTTTACAAAGGTAAGTAGCTGAGTCAGGTGAGTTACCTGCTGTGTCTTACAAAGGTAAGTAGCTGAGTCAGGTGAGTTACCTGCTGTGTCTTACAAAGGTAAGTAGCTGAGTCAGGTGAGTTACCTGCTGTGTCTTACAAAGGTAAGTAGCTGAGTCAGGTGAGTTACCTGCTGTGTTTTACAAAGGTAAGTAGCTGAGTCAGGTGAGTTACCTGCTGTGTCTTACAAAGGTAAGTAGCTGAGTCAGGTGAGTTACCTGCTGTGTTTTACAAAGGTAAGTAATAAAACAAAAGTTAATAAAACAAAAGTTAAATTTATTACCAATTATTCAATCAATACATATCATAAATTCTAATATTGGAAACACAATGCAAAATGGATGTCTTAAACTATAATTTTGTTGTGACTAATAATCTATTGACTTTTAAAGTTGAATTTTAGTTAAGTATGAAATGCCACCATATCATAGTTAGGGTAAAATGTTATTTTTAAATTTTAAAATTGAGAAGATTGCTCTATGACTTAAAATTTAAAATTCTAGCAAAAGATATCTTATTTTTAAATAGTTGGTTACAGTTTATGACAGTACTGGCAAGACTGAGTCAGGTGAGTTACCTGCTGTGTCCTACAAAGGTAAGTAGCTGAGTCAGGTGAGTAACCTGCTGTGTCCTACAAAGGTAAGTAGCTGAGTCAGGTGAGTTACCTGCTGTGTCTTACAAAAGTAAGTAGCTGAGTCAGGTGAGTTACCTGTTGTGTCTTACAAAGGTAAGTAGCGGAGTCAGGTGAGTTACCTGCTGTGTCTTACAAAGGTAAGTAGCTGAGTCAGGTGAGTTACCTGCTGTGTCTTACAAAGGTAAGTAGCTGAGTCAGGTGAGTTACCTGCTGTGTCCTACAAAGGTAAGTAGCTGAGTCAGGTGAGTTACCTGCTGTGTCTTACAAAGGTAAGTAGCTGAGTCAGGTGAGTTACCTGCTGTGTCCTACAAAGGTAAGTAGCTGAGTCAGGTGAGTTACCTGCTGTGTCTTACAAAGGTAAGTAGCTGAGTCAGGTGAGATACCTGCTGTGTTTTACAAAGGTAAGTAGCTGAGTCAGGTGAGTTACCTGCTGTGTTTTACAAAGGTAAGTAGCTGAGTCAGGTGAGTTACCTGCTGTGTCTTACAAAGGTAAGTAGCTGAGCAGGTGAGTTACCTGCTGTGTCCTACAAAGGTAAGTAGCTGAGTCAGGTGAGTTACCTGCTGTGTCCTACAAAGGTAAGTAGCTAAGTCAGGTGAGTTACCTGCTGTGTCTTACAAAGGTAAGTAGCTGAGTCAGGTGAGTTACCTGATGTGTCCTACAAAGGTAAGTATAGCTGAGTCAGGTGAGTTACCTGCTGTGTTTTACAAAGGTAAGTAGCTGAGTCAGGTGAGTTACCTGCTGTGTCTTACAAAGGTAAGTAGCTGAGTCAGGTGAGTTACCTGCTGTGTTTTACAAAGGTAAGTAGCTGAGTCAGGTGAGTTACCTGCTGTGTCTTACAAAGGTAAGTAGCTGAGTCAGGTGAGTTACCTGCTGTGTTTTACAAAGGTAAGTAGCTGAGTCAGGTGAGTTACCTGCTGTGTCCTACAAAGGTAAGTAGCTGAGTCAGGTGAGTTACCTGCTGTGTCCTACAAAGGTAAGTAGCTGAGTCAGGTGAGTTACCTGCTGTGTCCTACAAAGGTAAGTAGCTGAGTCAGGTGAGTTACCTGCTGTGTTTTACAAAGGTAAGTAGCTGAGTCAGGTGAGTTACCTGATGTGTCCTACAAAGGTAAGTAGCTGAGTCAGGTGAGTTACCTGCTGTATTTTACAAAGGTAAGTAGCTGAGTCAGGTGAGTTACCTGCTGTGTCCTACAAAGGTAAGTAGCTGAGTCAGGTGAGTTACCTGCTGTGTCCTACAAAGTTAAGTAGCTGAGTCAGGTGAGTTACCTGCTGTGTCTTACAAAGGTAAGTAGCTGAGTCAGGTGAGTTACCTGCTGTGTTTTACAAAGGTAAGTAGCTGAGTCAGGTGAGTTACCTGCTGTGTCCTACAAAGGTAAGTAGCTGAGTCAGGTGAGTTACCTGCTGTGTCTTACAAAGGTAAGTAGCTGAGTCAGGTGAGTTACCTGCTGTATTTTACAAAGGTAAGTAGCTGAGTCAGGTGAGTTACCTGCTGTGTTTTACAAAGGTAAGTAGCTGAGTCAGGTGAGTTACCTGCTGTGTTTTACAAAGGTAAGTAGCTGAGTCAGGTGAGTTACCTGCTGTGTTTTACAAAGGTAAGTAGCTGAGTCAGGTGAGTTACCTGCTGTGTCTTACAAAGGTAAGTAGCTGAGTCAGGTGAGTTACCTGCTGTGTCTTACAAAGGTAAGTAGCTGAGTCAGGTGAGTTACCTGCTGTGTCTTACAAAGGTAAGTAGCTGAGTCAGGTGAGTTACCTGCTGTGTTTTACAAAGGTAAGTAGCTGAGTCAGGTGAGTTACCTGCTGTGTCTTACAAAGGTAAGTAGCTGAGTCAGGTGAGTTACCTGCTGTGTTTTACAAAGGTAAGTAATAAAACAAAAGTTAATAAAACAAAAGTTAAATTTATTACCAATTATTCAATCAATACATATCATAAATTCTAATATTGGAAACACAATGCAAAATGGATGTCTTAAACTATAATTTTGTTGTGACTAATAATCTATTGACTTTTAAAGTTGAATTTTAGTTAAGTATGAAATGCCACCATATCATAGTTAGGGTAAAATGTTATTTTTAAATTTTAAAATTGAGAAGATTGCTCTATGACTTAAAATTTAAAATTCTAGCAAAAGATATCTTATTTTTAAATAGTTGGTTACAGTTTATGACAGTACTGGCAAGACTGAGTCAGGTGAGTTACCTGCTGTGTCCTACAAAGGTAAGTAGCTGAGTCAGGTGAGTAACCTGCTGTGTCCTACAAAGGTAAGTAGCTGAGTCAGGTGAGTTACCTGCTGTGTCTTACAAAAGTAAGTAGCTGAGTCAGGTGAGTTACCTGTTGTGTCTTACAAAGGTAAGTAGCGGAGTCAGGTGAGTTACCTGCTGTGTCTTACAAAGGTAAGTAGCTGAGTCAGGTGAGTTACCTGCTGTGTCTTACAAAGGTAAGTAGCTGAGTCAGGTGAGTTACCTGCTGTGTCCTACAAAGGTAAGTAGCTGAGTCAGGTGAGTTACCTGCTGTGTCTTACAAAGGTAAGTAGCTGAGTCAGATGAGTTACCTGCTGTGTCTTACAAAGGTAAGTAGCTAAGTCAGGTGAGTTACCTGCTGTATTTTACAAAGGTAAGTAGCTGAGTCAGGTGAGTTACCTGCTGTGTTTTACAAAGGTAAGTAGCTGAGTCAGGTGAGTTACCTGCTGTGTTTTACAAAGGTAAGTAGCTGAGTCAGGTGAGTTACCTGCTGTGTCCTACAAAGGTAAGTAGCTGAGTCAGGTGAGTTACCTGCTGTGTCCTACAAAGGTAAGTAGCTGAGTCAGGTGAGTTACCTGCTGTGTCCTACAAAGGTAAGTAGCTGAGTCAGGTGAGTTACCTGCTGTGTCCTACAAAGGTAAGTAGGTGAGTTACCTGCTGTGTCCTACAAAGGTAAGTAACTGAGTCAGGTGAGTTACCTGCTGTGTCTTACAAAGTTAAGTAGCTGAGTCAGGTGAGTTACCTGCTGTGTCTTACAAAGGTAAGTAGCTGAGTCAGGTGAGTTACCTGCTGTGTTTTACAAAGGTAAGTAGCTGAGTCAGGTGAGTTACCTGCTGTGTCCTACAAAGGTAAGTAGCTGAGTCAGGTGAGTTACCTGCTGTGTCTTACAAAGGTAAGTAGCTGAGTCAGGTGAGTTACCTGCTGTATTTTACAAAGGTAAGTAGCTGAGTCAGGTGAGTTACCTGCTGTGTTTTACAAAGGTAAGTAGCTGAGTCAGGTGAGTTACCTGCTGTGTTTTAAAAAGGTAAGTAGCTGAGTCAGGTGAGTTACCTGCTGTGTCCTACAAAGGTAAGTAGCTGAGTCAGGTGAGTTACCTGCTGTGTCCTACAAAGTTAATTAGCTGAGTCAGGTGAGTTACCTGCTGTGTTTTACAAAGGTAAGTAGCTGAGTCAGGTGAGTTACCTGCTGTGTTTTACAAAGGTAAGTAGCTGAGTCAGGTGAGTTACCTGCTGTGTTTTACAAAGGTAAGTAGCTGAGTCAGGTGAGTTACCTGCTGTGTTTTACAAAGGTAAGTAGCTGAGTCAGGTGAGTTACCTGCTGTGTCTTACAAAGGTAAGTAGCTGAGTCAGGTGAGTTACCTGCTGTGTCTTACAAAGGTAAGTAGCTGAGTCAGGTGAGTTACCTGCTGTGTCTTACAAAGGTGAGTAGCTGAGTCAGGTGAGTTACCTGCTGTGTTTTACAAAGGTAAGTAGCTGAGTCAGGTGAGTTACCTGCTGTGTCCTACAAAGGTAAGTAGGTGAGTTACCTGCTGTGTCCTACAAAGGTAAGTAACTGAGTCAGGTGAGTTACCTGCTGTGTCTTACAAAGGTAAGTAGCTGAGTCAGGTGAGTTACCTGCTGTGTCTTACAAAGGTAAGTAGCTGAGTCAGGTGAGTTACCTGCTGTGTCTTACAAAGGTAAGTAGCTGAGTCAGGTAAGTTACCTGCTCTGTCTTACAAAGGTAAGTAGCTGAGTCAGGTGAGTTACCTGCTGTGTTTTACAAAGGTAAGTAGTTGAGTCAGGTGAGTTACCTGCTGTGTTTTACAAAGGTAAGTAGTTGAGTCAGGTGAGTTACCTGCTGTGTCCTACAAAGGTAATTTAAGTAGCTGAGTCAGGTGAGTTACCTGCTGTGTCTTACAAAGGTAAGTAGCTGAGTCAGGTGAGTTACCTGCTGTGTCTTACAAAGGTAAGTAGCTGAGTCAGGTGAGTTACCTGCTGTGTCTTACAAAGGTAAGTAGTTGAGTCAGGTGAGTTACCTGCTGTGTTTTACAAAGGTAAGTAGCTGAGTCAGGTGAGTTACCTGCTGTGTTTTACAAAGGTAAGTAGCTGAGTCAGGTGAGTTACCTGCTGTGTCTTACAAAGGTAAGTAGCTGAGTCAGGTGAGTTACCTGCTGTGTCCTACAAAGGTAAGTAGTTGAGTCAGGTGAGTTACCTGCTGTGTTTTACAAAGGTAAGTAGCTGAGTCAGGTGAGTTACCTGCTGTGTTTTACAAAGGTAAGTAGCTGAGTCAGGTGAGTTACCTGCTGTGTCTTACAAAGGTAAGTAGCTGAGTCAGGTGAGTTACCTGCTGTGTCTTACAAAGGTAAGTAGCTGAGTCAGATGAGTTACCTGCTGTGTCTTACAAAGGTAAGTAGCTGAGTCAGGTGAGTTACCTGCTGTATTTTACAAAGGTAAGTAGCTGAGTCAGGTGAGTTACCTGCTGTGTTTTACAAAGGTAAGTAGCTGAGTCAGGTGAGTTACCTGCTGTGTTTTACAAAGGTAAGTAGCTGAGTCAGGTGAGTTACCTGCTGTGTCCTACAAAGGTAAGTAGCTGAGTCAGGTGAGTTACCTGCTGTGTCCTACAAAGGTAAGTAGCTGAGTCAGGTGAGTTACCTGCTGTGTCCTACAAAAGTAAGTAGCTGAGTCAGGTGAGTTACCTGCTGTGTCCTACAAAGGTAAGTAGCTGAGTCAGGTGAGTTACCTGCTGTGTCCTACAAAGTTAATTAGCTGAGTCAGGTGAGTTACCTGCTGTGTTTTACAAAGGTAAGTAGCTGAGTCAGGTGAGTTACCTGCTGTGTCCTACAAAGGTAAGTAGCTGAGTCAGGTGAGTTACCTGCTGTGTCTTACAAAGGTAAGTAGCTGAGTCAGGTGAGTTACCTGCTGTGTTTTACAAAGGTAAGTAGTTGAGTCAGGTGAGTTACCTGCTGTGTTTTACAAAGGTAAGTAGTTGAGTCAGGTAAGTTACCTGCTGTGTCCTACAAAGGTAATTTAAGTAGCTGAGTCAGGTGAGTTACCTGCTGTGTATTACAAAGGTAAGTAGCTGAGTCAGGCGAGTTACCTGCTGTGTCTTACCAAGGTAAGTAGCTGAGTCAGGTGAGTTACCTGCTGTGTTTTACAAAGGTAAGTAGCTGAGTCAGGTGAGTTACCTGCTGTGTTTTACAAAGGTAAGTAGCTGAGTCAGGTGAGTTACCTGCTGTGTCTTACAAAGGTAAGTAGCTGAGTCAGGTGAGTTACCTGCTGTGTCTTACAAAGGTAAGTAGCTGAGTCAGGTGAGTTACCTGCTGTGTCTTACAAAGGTAAGTAGCTGAGTCAGGTGAGTTACCTGCTGTGTCCTACAAAGGTAAGTAGCTGAGTCAGGTGAGTTACCTGCTGTGTCTTACAAAGGTAAGTAGCTGACTCAGGTGAGTTACCTGCTGTGTCCTACGAAGGTAAGTAGCTGAGTCAGGTGAGTTACCTGCTGTGTCCTCCAAAGGTAAGTAGCTGAGTCGAGTGAGTTACCTGCTGTGTCTTACAAAGGTAAGTAACTGAGTCAGGTGAGTTACCTGCTGTGTCCTACAAAGGTAAGTAGCTGAGTCAGGTGAGTTACCTGCTGTGTCTTACAAAGGTGAGTAGCTGAGTCAGGTGAGTTACCTGCTGTGTTTTACAAAGGTAAGTAGCTGAGTCAGGTGAGTTACCTGCTGTGTCCTACAAAGGTAAGTAGGTGAGTTACCTGCTGTGTCCTACAAAGGTAAGTAACTGAGTCAGGTGAGTTACCTGCTGTGTCTTACAAAGGTAAGTAGCTGAGTCAGGTGAGTTACCTGCTGTGTCTTACAAAGGTAAGTAGCTGAGTCAGGTGAGTTACCTGCTGTGTCTTACAAAGGTAAGTAGCTGAGTCAGGTGAGTTACCTGCTCTGTCTTACAAAGGTAAGTAGCTGAGTCAGGTGAGTTACCTGCTGTGTTTTACAAAGGTAAGTAGTTGAGTCAGGTGAGTTACCTGCTGTGTCTTACAAAGGTAAGTAGCTGAGTCAGGTGAGTTACCTGCTGTGTCTTACAAAGGTAAGTAGCTGAGTCAGGTGAGTTACCTGCTGTGTTTTACAAAGGTAAGTAGTTGAGTCAGGTGAGTTACCTGCTGTGTCCTACAAAGGTAATTTAAGTAGCTGAGTCAGGTGAGTTACCTGCTGTGTCTTACAAAGGTAAGAAGCTGAGTCAGGTGAGTTACCTGCTGTGTCTTACAAAGGTAAGTAGCTGAGTCAGGTGAGTTACCTGCTGTGTCTTACAAAGGTAAGTAGTTGAGTCAGGTGAGTTACCTGCTGTGTTTTACAAAGGTAAGTAGCTGAGTCAGGTGAGTTACCTGCTGTGTTTTACAAAGGTAAGTAGCTGAGTCAGGTGAGTTACCTGCTGTGTCTTACAAAGGTAAGTAGCTGAGTCAGGTGAGTTACCTGCTGTGTCCTACAAAGGTAAGTAGTTGAGTCAGGTGAGTTACCTGCTGTGTTTTACAAAGGTAAGTAGCTGAGTCAGGTGAGTTACCTGCTGTGTTTTACAAAGGTAAGTAGCTGAGTCAGGTGAGTTACCTGCTGTGTCTTACAAAGGTAAGTAGCTGAGTCAGGTGAGTTACCTGCTGTGTCTTACAAAGGTAAGTAGCTGAGTCAGATGAGTTACCTGCTGTGTCGTACAAAGGTAAGTATAGCTGAGTCAGGTGAGTTACCTGCTGTGTCCTACAAAGGTAAGTAGCTGAGTCAGGTGAGTTACCTGCTGTGTCTTACAAAGGTAAGTAGCTGAGTCAGGTGAGTTACCTGCTGTGGTTTACAAAGGTAAGTAGCTGAGTCAGGTGAGTTACCTGCTGTGTCTTACAAAGGTAAGTAGCTGAGTCAGGTGAGTTACCTGCTGTGTTTTACAAAGGTAAGTAGCTGAGTCAGGTGAGTTACCTGCTGTGTCCTACAAAGGTAAGTAGCTGAGTCAGGTGAGTTACCTGCTGTGTTTTACAAAGGTAAGTAGCTGAGTCAGGTGAGTTACCTGCTGTGTCTTACAAAGGTAAGTAGCTGAGTCAGGTGAGTTACCTGCTGTGTCTTACAAAGGTAAGTAGCTGAGTCAGATGAGTTACCTGCTGTGTCGTACAAAGGTAAGTATAGCTGAGTCAGGTGAGTTACCTGCTGTGTCCTACAAAGGTAAGTAGCTGAGTCAGGTGAGTTACCTGCTGTGTCTTACAAAGGTAAGTAGCTGAGTCAGGTGAGTTACCTGCTGTGGTTTACAAAGGTAAGTAGCTGAGTCAGGTGAGTTACCTGCTGTGTCTTACAAAGGTAAGTAGCTGAGTCAGGTGAGTTACCTGCTGTGTTTTACAAAGGTAAGTAGCTGAGTCAGGTGAGTTACCTGCTGTGTCCTACAAAGGTAAGTAGCTGAGTCAGGTGAGTTACTCTATACAATCTGAATCCCTCGCTTGCTCAGATAGAAACACAGGTGCTGAACTGATTAGGATCACTACTGGTAACAGTAAGGAAGCACCAAGCTCATCTGATAAAGTGTTGCAAGTTTGGACAAGGTACTGCCCTGAAGTTTTCCATCTGACTGTAAGTTTCCTGGCGTTCTTAATTTCTTATTATATAATCCTCTTTTAGCAGGAGAATACTAAAAATAATTTGATTTTGATGAGTTTGTTCACTATAATAAACATTGTTATTTACATTTTATAGCTAGATAATAAACATTGTTACATCGATACTCGCACAATTACTTGTTTAGTCATCCATTATACTGTGTATGATTCGCCTCTAAACTGTGTATGATTCGCCTCTCCAAACAAATCTAAAATTATACTGTTATGTTTCCTTCAATCATTAAATAATAAAAGCAATTATACGTTATTATTATTTTCCTCAGCCTCAACTGCGTTGCGACGGAATATGGAGAACAGTGTGTGTTGATGTAACTAAAAATACGGAAATAGCCCTTACTGTTCAGAGATTTGACCAAGGTAACCATAACAGCCCTCACTGTTCAGAAAGTTTATCAAGGGAAAAATAATAGCCCTTACTTTTCAATGCTGATGAAGGTAACCATAATTGCCCTTACTGAACAACTTTTTTTTCAGTTTCCGAGTCTCAAAGAACTACGAGGTCCTGCAGAGAACGCAAAATTCCCCGTTATGATAAGTTCGCCACACCTGTTATAAAAAACGGAGGGAAGTTTACCTTCAACACCATCCAAATAGGTGACAAAACGTAAGTTTACCTTCAACACCATCCAAATAGGTGACAAAACGTAAGTTTACCTTCAACACCATCCAAATAGGTGACAAAACGTAAGTTCACCTTCAACACCATCTAAATAGGTGACAAAACGTAAGTTTACCTTCAACACCATCCAAATAGGTGACAAAACGTAAGTTTACCTTCAACACCATCCAAATAGGTGACTAACAGAAATGAAAGAGTATTTGCAAAAAAACTGCTTATAAATTTTCCCTAGGATTATATCAGACAGCAAAATAAAAGACGTGATGTTATGGGAAAATGCCTTTAAAGATATTTCTCTGGCCGGGGAATTAGCATCTGGTGTTTTGGAATTTATACCAAACGTAAGATTTACTCAAGAATGCTCCTAAGTTGAAACATTTTTTTCCTATATCAGTATATTATATATATTATACTGATATAGGAAAACAAATGTTATATAATATAGTATATACTGTATAGTATATCAGTTGGTTACACACACTGAAATGGTAACAAATTAATGAAATAACTCGAACACGCGATAATTCGAATATTCCGATTATATAATCATATAACACCTCAACACCTGCGTATTATATTCACACTTTACCTCAGAATATTAACTAGCCATATGTTTCAGAGACAACAAATTGTTTGGATTTTCAACTCGAAGGCCTCCCTAATGCAATCTGGTGAAGTTGATGTAAAGGAACGCCCCTATGGAAAAGGTGAAAACCGAAATATAAAATTGTCAAGTTTGGGAAATCGTCTGACCAATCAAAATAAACTGCATATAAGATTAATAGAGAATTGAGTAATATTAATTACACTAAATATGACCCCTGCAGGAATGATAGCGTCCCCTGAGTATCAACTTGTGGAGAGAGGAGAGAAAGCAGTGCTCACCTGCCAGGTCCTACTTAACGACTTTTCCCGGGTTAACAACACTGGGGCAGGAGTCAGGTGGTTCCATCAAGATATAGACAATATATCCAAATCAGAGAAGAATCATGGTCACACACACGAGGGTTTGTTATAAGGCTTCAATAAAATAATCCTGCAAAAGTTAGACAGTCGCACAATGGGTCCGCTTGTGAAAACGATTGTATAAATTAAAATTTTTAATACCGAAAACACTGTTAAAAAATATTTAGATGTATGAAATCGTCTACAGAGGTGAAACATGAATTTTTTAATTGCCTCTTAAAAAAGTGTTAGCAAATCAACTAAAAGTGTTGTTAAACAGAAATCCAATGATAATGCTTACTAGTCCGAATAGTGTTCACCACATATTCCTTAGTGCAAAGTACAGAAGATGATGACGGAGATATATCTATCTACACTCTAGACTCTTCGGTCAGCGATCCTTTCTCACAGGGATGGTTCTATTGTCAACGTAACAAAATAAAAGACATTGAGAAACTACATAAAAGCAACATTGTCCATATTACCATAGCTGGTGAGTAATTATATTTTTAATACTTATTTACCAATTGAGAGCTCGTAATTAGCTGCTTATTTTATTTCAAGCTTTCCTGGAATTTTTAGAATTAGTAATGATAGCTGCAGAGATTTATTAGTTTTGTACTAATTTGTTCTTCGATAATAAGTAACTCATTTAAAGTAACGGTTTAGAACTTTTGGTATGTACTTCAAATCCTCGTCTTCCTTGTCTTCTTGTCTTCCTTATATTCCTTGTATTCCTTGTATTCCTTGTATTCTTTGTATTCCTTGTATTCCTTGTATTCCTTGTATTCCTTGTATTCCTTGTATTCCTTGTATTCCTTGTATTCCTTGTATTCCTTGTATTCCTTGTATTCCTTGTATTCCTTGTATTCCTTGTATTCCTTGTATTCCTTGTATTCTTTGTATTCCTTGTATTCCTTGTATTCCTTGTATTCCTTGTATTCCTTGTATTTCGTGTATTCCTTGTATTCCTTGTATTCCTTGTATTCCTTGTATTCCTTGTATTCCTTGTATTCCTTGTATTCCTTGTATTCCTTGTATTCCTTGTATTCCTTGTATTCCTTGTATTCCTTGTATTCCTTGTATTCCTTGTATTCCTTGTATTCCTTGTATTCCTTGTATTCCTTGTATTCCTTGTATTCCTTGTATTCCTTGTATTCCTTGTATTCCTTGTATTCCTTGTATTCCTTGTATTCCTTGTATTCCTTGTATTCCTTGTATTCCTTGTATTCCTTGTATTCCTTGTATTCCTTGTATTCCTTGTATTCCTTGTATTCCTTGTATTCCTTGTATTCTTTCTGTTTCTTGTATGAGTCAGTTTATTTGACCACCCCTAAATGATAATGCAATAGCTTCATTTTAGATAAAGTGTGCAAGGCTATTAAGCGAAAAGACGATAAGTACGGAACATTAGAATTTGCTGCAGCAACTCCAGGAAACTACTCGACTGCGAAGTAAGATGGAAATATTATTAACCTTCTTACTTTGAAGATGCATTCATTACAAAATACCTTATCGGACTTTATTTGAATGGACATAACGTGGATGCTAGAAGGACTAGTATATAGCTACTAGCTAGTATATAGTTTCCGTAGTTATGTCCGTTCAAATAAAGTCTTTCCAAGTCGTTCAATTTTCAGAATCCTTTTTTTACACCAAAAATGTCCAGCCCAAATGACCTCATAGAAAGTTCAGTGACCATCTAGTGCACCCTTTCCATACCATAAAAATTTTGTTTGAGGATTCCCATTTTTCTAATCGAGCATTTCCTGGTCAAAGTGCATTTTTCGGAAAAGCACAATTTTTTTTGTTGAGAGGCTATAAGTCAATCATTTCTTGTGATAGCACGAAGTTTAATCATATCTTTTTCAAGATGTGTGTAAAATTTTAATATCGTATCTGAAAAGGCTACGTTTTTATAAAGTTGTAAAGTCAAAAAGTGGTATTTTACTTTTCAGGCTTGTTTTGACCAAAAAGTCCGTCAAGGAACATCAGATTGTTTTGATGCTACACAATAAATTGTTCTCTGAATTCTTATTTGATATAAAAATGTCACATTTTATTTTAAAAACGCTCGTAAAGGTGTCCGGGAGGAGACGCTAAGATGCTGTGCACGTCTAACAGCACGTGGGATGTTGAGAACTGTAACTTTTCCTGCAACACGCTTATCTACAACACTCTCTCAGATATTATTGTGAGTACTCCTGTGTACCCCCTGTTATTACTATTAATATTATAGTTAATACAGTTAGTGCTTCAACTCTCAATTTCCTATTTCCTTTCATAACGGTATTACACCACACCCCTCAACTCATATTATTATATCCTTTCATAACGGTATCACACCACACCCCTCAACTCATATTTTTATATCCTTTCATAACGGTATCACACCACACCCCTCAACTTAGATCTTTATATCCTTTCATAACGGTATCACACCACACCCCTCAACTCATATTTTTATATCCTTTCATAACAGTATCACACCACACCCCTCAACTTAGATCTTTATATCCTTTCAGAACGGTACCACACCACACCCCTCAACTTATATCTTTATATCATTTCAGAACGGTACCACACCACACCCCTCAACATATATCTTTATATCATTTCAGAACGGTACCACACCACACCCCTCAACTTATATCTTTATATCATTTCAGAACGGTACCACACCACACCCCTCAACTTATATCTTTATATCATTTCAGAACGGTACCACACCACACCACTCAACATATATCTTTATATCCTTTCAGAACGGTACCACACCACACCCCTCAACTTATATCTTTATATCCTTTCAGAACGGTACCACACCACACCCCTTGACATATATCTTTATATCCTCTCATAACAGCACCACACCACACCCCTTGACATATATCTTTATATCCTCTCATAACAGCACCACATCACACCCCTCAACTTATATCTTTATATCATTTCAGAACGGTACCACACCACACCCCTCTGCGTTGTCCCAGATAACTCCCCAGCAATTTGACAAAATGACTAACAATGATTTCCGGCTCGTTGTCGGGGCGGTGAGACGTGTTCAGAACTATCTGTACGATAGGAAGGGGGTTGAGGTTTTGTTGGATTGGATGGGAGAACTGATGGAAGTACCATCACGTGTCCCTATTACCACTAGGCAATTGTGAGTATAACATTTATCAAGGGAACAGAGCTGTATACGGAATTGAGTGCCAGCTACTAAGCTGAACCACCTTATGATTTGTCATTTGTGACTAAATTGTATGTATATTAGGGTGGTGGGGGGGGGGGGGGGGGGGCTTTAAAAACCAAAATATAACCTCTTATAGTCAAGAAAACAGCATTTTTGTTGAGCTATTGATGGGCCAAAAACTTTCGGCCGTCCAAGATTCTCACCAACAAGAAAGGAGTGAACCAATTCTTGATCATCTCAAATTAAATAGCTTTTCTTAACCCTACATGAGGATATAATGGTCGCAGGTTCCCAGAGGTAACAGAGGAGCTAGTAGGAAAACTCACTGAATATGTCCAGCAATCTGAAACCTTACACCAGGAACATTTCTCTATTCTCATCAGTAAGCGTGTTGATGGTGACTTTACCGGAGATATCAGTGATAGGACTCGACCTAATGTCAAGGTAAAGCAGATATTTGTTCTCATACTCCATATAAATTACATACTTACATATGTGTCCGAACTCCACATTTTTCTTCAAAGCAATTACGTCATTAAAATTAGAATTAGTATAACCTTAGCAAACAGCTTAATAATAACACAATTTTTAATTTTACCAACTGCTCACTTTTCCACTCCAGATATCACTGTTGGGAGAGACAGATTGGATGGTAGCAATATACTACAGAGAAGACAGCTGGTTTAAAGTAGATAATCACAATAGTGACGTCATCATCCACTCTCCTGTAGTGGGCATCAAGATATCCAATCATTCTGCTCTCCCCGTGACTATTACCTTTCATAAGAACTACGTTAGTAATCTTACTTAGTTTATAGTTTATAGTTTATAGTTTATAGTTTATAGTTTATAGTTTATAGTTTATAGTTTATAGTTTATAGTTTATAGTTTATAGTTTATAGTTTATAGTTTATAGTTTATAGTTTATAGTTTATAGTTTATAGTTTATAGTTTATAGTTTATAGTTTATAGTTTATAGTTTATAGTTTATAGTTTATAGTTTATAGTTTATAGTTTATAGTTTATAGTTTATAGTTTATAGTTTATAGTTTATAGTTTATAGTTTATAGTTTATAGTTTATAGTTTATAGTTTATAGTTTATAGTTTATAGTTTATAGTTTATAGTTTATAGTTTATAGTTTATAGTTTATAGTTTATAGTTTATAGTTTATAGTTTATAGTTTATAGTTTATAGTCACACCTATCTCCAGAACAGTGACAACAGGTCCAGATGCGTGTACTGGGATGTGGAAGAGGTTGGTTGGAAGAGTGACAATTGTACCACTCAGGAACTTGGTGGGGGCAGGGTTCAATGTGTTTGTCACCATCTAACATCTTTCGCTATCTTAATGGTGAGAATTAGAAATTAACCGGCAGCCTCTCACTGTCTGATTTAACCTTCTTTAATCAACATTTGTACATGGTTCATAAAAAGGGATTAGAAAGTTATTATTTTAAAAGTTGAACGATAATTAAGGTTTTAATATAAATTAAGTTAATATTTTTATTTTCACAGGATCCGTTTACGGATTTGGCCAATAATCCATTCCAATCATTTCTGACTAAAGTCGTTTTGTCAGTTTCAATCGTGTTCCTGATTTTTTCCATTATCATATGGATATCTTTCAAGTGAGTGCCTTCAAATTCTATATAATATTATGATGCTTATTAGATATAAGTAAATTTGACCAAAATGGGTAGAATGGACAGCTGCCAGTGTCTCTCTTTCCCAAACAAAGGTAAATGATATCAATTTGAATGACCGTCCGCAGATGCAAAATGATACCGAGAATGAAATCGGTCGGTCGCTTTTCCCATTTATTCACGGCTTACGAATTGTAATAAGTTTCGATTAATTGCATCAATCACATGATGTAAAAATCTCTTTGGGTTGCTTTAGGGTCGATACCTAGTATTTCGGGATAAGGGCGGTAGTTAGTGTCCCATTAGCTTATGTTTATTGAATCATTATTGCCGAGTACAGCTGTCTTCGGACAGTTCTTCTTAATCTATTACAACTGTAAATGAATGAGAAAAGCGACCGAGTCTGATAAATTTGTGCGATGTAAATTAACATAGGAGTTTATCATTGTTACATGTAAATGAGTATGATAACAAGTCTCACCCCCACAAGGTCTCTGAGGAAACTTACCTACATCAAACTACGGTCCAGCTTCTCCTCCTGTCTTTGTACAGCTTCCTTCTTCTTCTTACTAACAGGTGCACACTTTGGTTGCAGTAATAGCGAGGGTGGGGTAGCCGGGGCGGGTGCTTCATCAGAGGGGACAATTTCCTCCGACTTTTAGATCTTTAACGAAATATCTGGCGCCAAAAAATACCTTTTTTTGTTTTTTAAAGCACTGTAAAATTTATGTAGGGACGCCAAAAATATTCAGCGGGGCAGACTTTGCGCCACTGATGCTAATACCATTACTATCTCTTGTCGAACACAAGGTTTTACCTTGTGCCTCGCTTTATCATCAAGCCTGATAACACGAGATGTGACTTGTGAGTCCGCTTATTGATTTAGCTTATTTTATCCCCTGTAATTTCTATGTGGATCCACAAATAACGTGTGTATTATTATTAATGTATATAGTATAAACTAATTACAACACTACAAATCTATTACATTTATTGAGAATTATGTAATGTAACGTGATGGAAATATTTTAAACGGGCATATCCTGTCCAAACCCAGGATGCACTACATGAAGAATTCGTTGTAACTTTGTTTGAAAAGGATTAATACACTATATTAACACATGCAAATAAACCAGGAGAAACTCCACGTGACAGCCGTGCTTGTTATAGCTTCACTTTCCTCATGCAATGGATGTACCTGGCAACATTTGGGTGGATGGTAGTTGACGCGTACTGGCTCCGGTTGAAAGTAAGCCACATACCTTAAGTGATTAAATCTTACCATTGACAATTACTTGACCACACCTTGGCAATTACTAACCACACCTTTTCAACTTAAAATGATATTTTAAGGTTCGTGCGCTTATTCGCGCATGAGTCATAGTCCTCATTACAATATATACAATAATCTAATTTTCACAGATAGTACATTCTTTAGACTCGTATGGCGTCTACCCTCGACAATTCTTCAAGAAAGCTTTTTTCGGAACACTAGGTGAGAGAAGTTTAAGCTACTTGAGCTACATCCTTGCTCAAAACCCATAAAATTACTGAGTTATAAGCCAAAAACCATATGCCCATATTTGGACATACGCACCAAATTTGATAAAATTAAATGTTGGCTCATGAATTGGTCAAATATCAATATTTTTGAATGAAACCAACTTTATAAAGCTTAAGGCATTTTCATTTTCAAAATTTTCCCATGAAATTTTCAGGTTCAAGGTTAAGTTTTAAATCTTCTCAGGACTTTATCTTCTAGCCCGTATTTTTGATTCACTCATTTAGCCTTAGGCCTTTTAAAGAATTTGGCCTAAATATTATTTTGACCGCAAAATGTTTTTAAAGGCCTAAATCAAAAATGTAAAATTTGGATGTGTACAGTGTTTACAGTGATTAATCATCATCCGATGAATATAATATAACTTTCAGGAGTGTCTTTGACGATAACAACTATCAATGTAGTTGTGGCAGTGTTCGAGGATTCATTATCTTATCTGCATGATGAGTTGTGCGTTAAACTTTATATACCCCTTAATAATAACCCGGCATATCATAACGTTCAATTTAGTGTTTCCATGACATCAGAGTTATTATAAACACCTCCGGAATAAAATAATCAGCCGAGATCAGAGATAGAATAATCAATTCTGATAATCCCGGCTCCCGCTGTTAATTTTGTCCCGCTTAATAAATAACCCCGGCAATTCTCACAATCTTCAGTTGTTGGTTTGGAAAGAATTCTCAGATTTACTTTTTGCTCCTGCCAGTGTACCTATGTTTGTGCTACAATATATGGACTTTCTGTCAAGTTGCAGGAATCATCTTCACGGTCAACAAGTTATCCCAACCCTCCAACACTTATTTTAAGGTAACTTAAGGCTATCTTTGACTAATAGATTTTAATACTGGTGTGGATTTGGCATGTTTTGAAAGTCATGAAGCTGGTTAATTGCTTCCGCCATTGTAGCATGAGTGTGGTATAGTAGTATGGTATAGTAGTGTGGTATAGTAGTGTGGTATAGTAGTGTGGTATAGTAGTGTGGTATAGTAGTGTTGTATAGTAGTGTGGTATAGTAGTGTGGTATAGTAGTGTGGTATAGTAGTGTGGTATATTAGTGTAGTATAGTAGTGTGGTATAGTAGTATGGTATAGTAGTGCTGTATAGTAGTGTGGTATAGTAGTGTGGTAAAGTAGTGTGGTATAGTAGTGTGGTATAGTAGTGTGGTATAGTAGTGTGGTATAGTGATAGTAGTGTGGTATAGTAGTGTGGTATAGTAGTGTGGTATAGTAGTGTGGTATTATAGAAGTGTGGTATAGTAGTGTGGTATAGTAGTGTGGTATAGTAGTGTGGTATAGTAGTGTGGTATAGTAGTGTGGTATAGTAGTGTGGTATAGTAGTGTGGTATAGTAGTGTGGTATAAATATAGTAGTGTGGTATAGTAGTGTGGTATAGTAGTTCTCCTAAACTAAACTTCTCCCCCAGAAACAGCTTAGAAGCGTGTTCTCAGTAGCTCTCTCGCTGGGCTGCACTTGGATTACAGCCCCACTTTTATACATCGACAATAAACATATGAAGGGGATTGTCCAAATGGTCTTCATCCTAACCAACGGAATGCAGGTTTAAATGCGTGGTCAAGGTATACATTCCAGACAAAAAAATAGAAAGTCTTCTAGTAGTCGTACAAGAAGTGGAATTTCCTTATAGTCGATAATAATCGCTTAATTAATCAGTTAATGAGCGGTCAAAAGGCGCTTTTTTTAAAGAACCGTTTGTAAACGCTTCCAAATTGCTTTTATATATATATAAAAGCACTCATTATATATATATATAATGAGTGTTGGAAAAGCGGTCAGCCGGGAAAAAAACCGAGTATAAGCGATTATAAGCGATTATAATTGTTCATAAAAAATCACAAATGTGTGCGCTTTCCAAACCTGCTAGACACTTACTAAACAAACCAGTTAAATGGACATTTAGAAATGCGGTTATAAGCGATTTTGCAATTTTCTGTTTGAAAAATACATGAAAAAAGCAATTTTTAACGCTTATAATATGAAGTATATGATAAAAACGCTTATCAACAATTGAAATTGCTTTTCATAGACACTAACAGAAAATTTTATTTTTGATAACTTAACTCTTATTGCTCTTCTAGTAAATAAATTCCAATAACTTTGTTCAATTTTGTAATGACTAAATGTTTCTTCTTTCAGGGTCTTTTCATCTTCATTTTCTTCGTTTTACTTCAACCAGATGTGAAGCAAGAATTGCTGAATTCTCTTTCCAACAGAAAAAGCTCTTTGAAGACTGAGAAGCTGGAGGAAAAGGAGTTCCATGAAGTACCCACAGATGAAGCTGAATAAGGATCAGATGAAGCTACCGTCAATAAGGAAAACTGTCATATTAAAGTTATTTGACGCCCTTGCTTCTTATGGATGCCATATCTAGCTACCCCAGACTTAATTCATGAAGTCATTCTCTTCCCAGAATAAGTTCCCTCACCTCAAGAATTTGACCCGACAGGGCTGCACCCATTGCAGAATTAACTGTTCGTTTTTAAAACCCTGTGCCTCTTTTATTTCCATTATACTTATATATTTTCCGTGTCATATTTTGTAGGGGGTGCACCATAAAAATAAACTTGCTCGGATTTTAAAATTTTTTGTACCATTGTTTTCTAGAGACTGTGAGAATTTTCACAATACTAAATTTGTCATACCTTTTTTGGAAAGATCAGTGAGTTTCGCCTAGGTGCCATATTTGATGGTGCGCGGCTTTTGGAGCAAAATTAGCTGTAAAACTCGCGTAATTTGACCAAATTTGACCAAATTCGTTGATTTTTGTCGTATTATTTGGATATATCTTCAGTTCCTTGAATGAGATCATTCTGAAAATTGGCGAAGACCTTCCAATAGGGCTTTCACAACTGTCCGAAAAATTTGGTGGATATCGGAGTTGATATAGTGATCAAAATACGCTGCTTTTAGCTGTAACATAATGTCTAATGGTTGGATATGCTTTAAACTTTTCGGACACTTTCCTTGTAAGTCTATGAGTAAGCTTACCAATTTTTGTTGCAATCGGAAGTCGGGAAGGATACTTAATATCTATTTATTTGAAGAAAATTGTGCTGGCCGAAATTAGCGCTAAAAAACCATCCTACTGTCGGCACGCGCGGCTCACTGTCGATGGCGCACTACCTATATTTTGCAGTATTGATCATTTATTCTTGTAGTCGGGAGTGTTACTGTTAGGGCTCCCGTTGACCAAATTACATTTTACCCCGTTCAAACTCGTTTGCAAAATTCTTTTAAAAACCCAAAAATCACCATATTCAGATGCTTAAAAACATGTTAAAATTTAATTAGAGGCGTGTAATTGCAACTTATCGTTATTACTATTATTGCTGAGTACTGCTTCCAGTTCCATTTATTCAATTTTGAATGAATGGGAAAAGCGAGCGACCATTCTCATTCTCGGTGTCATTTTGGGATGATGATTAATCACTCTACACTCGACTGTCACATGACTTTTTCAACCCGTAATTCTCTAGCTGGTTCTGAAAGAATTTTCAAAACCCTAACCCTCTAATCTGATCCCAACCCTAACCCTAACCCTTACCTGAGGACCCCAGGCTATTATAGTAGAGGCTCTTACGGGCAAAAAGACGAGTTTTCTGCTACGAGTTTAGAGACCTAACCGCTAATTGGACACAATAGTATGATGTCTAAGGATCGATAATATGTATAGCACGTGACTAAAAGTGAAGTCATCGAGGAGTCTGCGTACATGATCCCTCCTGAGGATGAGGTTGAAGTGCAGAGTATACCTATTCCTAGTATCCCTGGTTCCTCCGCTAGATTTGAAAACAACCAGCTGTACTCCCCTCGGCGCCTTAGTGCTCATCTAGCTCCTACTAGAGGCAAGTCAGGAGGTCCACCTAAACATGACAACTCGACAAGAGATCATAACCAGACCTCAAGCAATCACTGCAGTGACAGAACAAAAAAACAACAGAATATCAAGGTTCTAGGAAGCCATGACACGAGGCTTTCATGTGAGACAGCCCCATCACCACTGGGTACTAAACGACCTAGGAAACCATCAAACAAGAAGGAGGACCGGGAAGAAGCCACAACTTCAACAGCCAACGATACCAATGGCCAATGCCGACAACATGAACCAGAAGGAAGTAGTCGATCACAGCCCCCCTCCGAGAAAACCGATCTTGATAAGGATAAGACTCCAGGAATAGATCAAACTGAAAATACAGGAGTTTCTATCCCAACTAGCCATGTGGCAACAGTAAATAGCACTCATGGAGAAACCGTATCTGCTAACAACCTATGCCACAAGGAGCCAGCACAAAAATCACCAAAGGAGAATGCCCAGACCAGCCCAGAAACACCAAGAGGAAGATCACATCCGACCCAGCGGTCGAACCGAAAATGTCTCCTTGTTCACGATGATTTTTTCGACAAATTTGACGGGACCAAATTTAGCAGTCGTTTTGAGATCAGCACATATCGAGCCTTCTCGGTCGACGATATCATTTCGAAAGGAGGCCTCGTATCAAAAGTGCGAAACACAAAACCAGATGTCGTGTTCGTGCATACAGGATTTCAAGACCTATTCTGGCTCAAACTTTCTGCTGACGATCTTTTCGGTAAATATAAACAGATGGTCTACAACATCCTCGAATCGACAACGGCTAAACTCTGCCTATCAGCGATCATCCCAATCCCTGGCTACCCTCGTCTGACCGAGGAGATTGAATCCTTTAATGGCTTGCTGTCAACTTTTGTGAGCAACCTCAGATCAGGACAAAAATACCGAAACCGTGTCTTTACATCGTGTAATCGTAATCTCGGTGGATTCATAAACAAAGGGACAGGAAAAAATGGCGTAGAACTGTTCCTCTCAGAAAGAGGCCAACGGAAAACCTGGCTGAAGTTTCGTGATTCTCTTTATAGAACTGTAGACATGGAGACCAGTCACGGGAATTACGAGGACGAAACTGGATACAAACCGAAAAGGAAGCGCAATGATTAATTCTATATTTGATAGGACTACGAGCCACCAACAAGACCTTATGAGGATCTTGTCGTGGAACATTCATGACGCAATGTCCTCCAAAGAGGGCCCCAAGGCCGATGATGAGGACTTCACCAAACTTCTCATTGGGTGTAACATATTCTGCCTGCAGGAAACGAAGGCTGAGTTCCACCTTCCAAACTTCAAATGCTACAATAGCCTTAGAACCGGCTCGCGCTCCGGTGGGCTATGTGTGGGGGTCCATCGATCCCTGTCAGGAGACTTCAAGCCCGTAAAAAGCTCCCATCCAGATATTCAAGCGGTGACTTTTTGCCCCGCCACTGATGATACTCTTAAGTTCACAATAATCAACGTATACGACTCCCCAGAGCAGTCATCCTACAAAAAGAGACTGAAAAACAGCAATGGTGGACCAACCCAGTCAACACTCGAATCCATTATTGACTTTGTTGCTGAAAACACAGATCTCGGCGAGAAACTGGTTCTAGGAGACTTCAATGCAAGAACAGGGGACCTCAACTTTAACTTTGATGATGAACCTCCAGCTGACATCGAGGCTTTCTCGACAATTGCAAGCTTTCCAGAAAAATCAACAAGATCAAGCAAAGACTCTGTGATAAACCCAAGGGGAAAACTTTTTCTGGACTTCATATCCAGTCTGAACCTTAGCATTCTTAATGGTGATACACTAGGAGACATCTTTGGGGAACCCACCTCAATTAATTACAATGGACACAGCGTTGTAGACTACGTAACAGCATCCCCCATGCTAAGGGAATCGGTGCAAAGTCTTAAGGTCTTAGATCTTACGAAATTCTCAGACCACCGCCCATGCTTATGCACACTGAAACTGAGTCATAATTATATAATTGATCCGGACGAAATTCTATCCTCACTCCAGCCAGCCCCAATAAAACACAAATGGGACGAGAATGCTTCAGAGAATAAACAGCAGTTCCTAGATGTCCAAAAAGAACCCCAGTTTGCAAGCAGAATCGCGGAACTGGTTGAAGCTGTTTGCGTAAAAAAGGAGGATGTCATTAAGCTCAATGAAAACATCGTCGGCATTTATCGTGATATGGCTGATCAGGCCCTACCAAGACCTAGAAAACATAAACAAAAACCCCTCAATAGGAAAACTCGGGGATACAAAAGGGCAAAACCGAAGTCTCCATGGTTTGATATTGCCTGCATCATCGAAAAACGTGAACTAAATCGATTAGCTAAAACATACGGTAAAAGTCCTCTTGATAAAGAACTGAGAGACAGCTACTACAACAAACGCCGCGAATATCGAAAGCTCGTGAGACAGAAGAAGGCCAAGTTCGTGGAATCTCTTTGTCGTGATGTTGACGAGGGGCGCGACATTAACTGGAGTCGCTTTAAGAAACTTAAAAGCTTCTCCTCAAATGGCTCAAAGCTGGACGTTTTCGATATGATGAACTTCTGTAAATTCTTCAAAGAGCTGTACTCAAAACCTTCCATCCCGAATGAAGAAACTGCTGACTTCACGGAACGCAGAAAGACTGAACTTCGTGTTCATGAACTCGTGGAAG